GATGAGTTCATGTCCTTTGCAGGGACATGGATGAAGCTGGAAACCATCATTCTTAGCAAACTAACACAAGAACAGAAAACCAAACACCACATGTTTTTACTCATAAATGGGAGTTGAATAATGAGAACAGATGGACACAGGGAGGAGACCATCACACACCAGGGCCTGTTGGTGGGTGGGGGTTAGGGGAGGATAGCATTAGGAGAAATACCTAATGCAGCTGACAGGTTGATGGGTGCAGCAAACCACCATGGCACATGTATACCTATGTAACAAACCTGTACGTTTTGCACATGCCCCCCAGAACTTAAAGTATAATAACTAAATAACTAAATAAATTTGTGCTATTTTAAATCATTACATTTGTGGCAATATTGCCACACAGCATCAGATAATCACACAAACAATGTGAGATGAGAAAAGCAGCCCCTGACATCTGAAAGCTAGCCTGGTACTATTAGCAAGGCATTGATGCTGCTGGGGTGCTGGCTTGCACTCATAAGCAGGCCTTGTGGCAAAACACAAACAATTTCAAAGAATACTAACACCAGACAAGGCCACCCTATGACTATGAACATGTCTGAACATGAACGAAAACACAAACATTGTCTGAATCCTAATAATGACTAAATATCCCCTATACTGGCTACTATGCATACATAGCTTTAACCTTGATTCATTTTCCCCATGTCTCAAAGATTTATTAAGATACTCATTCATAGACTCGCCCCTCCTTATAGCATCAAACCCAAATCAAAGTCCTACTTCCCTGAACCCTCCTCCAAGTCACCTTACGTAAGTCCAAATCCTATTCTAAATCCTTTCTGACACCCTCTTACTGGAAGGCCTTGTGATTCCCGTTGGTATTTGTTTTCCCTCACTACAAGCAGCAATACACCAACTTGTTCAACCACAGATATGTTCCTAGGTGAATCCAACCACACATTTCACTGGAGAGCACTGACAAAACAAAAACAAATAAATCAAGCAAATAACAAAAACACAAAACATGACTTTAGCATAGAACTTGCATAAAATAGAACCATAAACCAACAAAACAAGAAAGAGGCCATACTCAGTTTAAATTAGATATGACATAAAATAGAATCATCACCAGGCATGGTGGCACATGCCTGGAATCCCAGCACTTTGAGAGGCTGAGGTGGGCGGATCAAGAGGTCAGGAATTCGAGACCAGCCTAACTAACATGGTGAAACCTCGTCTCTACTAAAAATACAAAAATTAGCCAGGTGTGATAGTGTTTGCCTGCAATCCCAGCTACTCAGGAGGCTGAGGCAGGAGAATTGTTTGAACCCGGGAGGTTGCAGTGAGCCAAGATCGTGCCATTGCACTCCATCCTGGGCGACAGAGCAAGACTCTCTGAAAAAGAAAAAAAAATTAGAATTGAGTATCTCGAAATGAATAGAAAGAAATTATTTGACAAACAGTAGGAGGATAAGTGGATACAAATAGGAAAAATAGGTCAGGTCCCCACTTTAGGCTAAAGAAGAATAAATTTTACATATGTTAAAGAATTAAACAATTAATAAAAGACCAGCTGACATGCGTTTATTTCACCAGATCGATGGAAAGACAATGAACCTCTCATCTGAAAACAAGAACAAATAAAGACTGACCAATTTAGGTACAAATTCCTAGTACATAATGAAAAACTATACAAAATAAAATCAACTGCCTGAGAAATACTTGCATCACAGTGACAATACACTTAAATCTGAAGTACAGACTTCATTCAAACTCACAAGGAAAACATTACATGAGTATAGTCTGTAACAGACAATTCAGAGAATAAAACAGAGTAAAGAGTCCTGTATTCAAACCTGGAATTTATTAGTTACATGGTACTGGATGAGTTACTTAACCTCTGCAACCTGTGCTTACACAGAACCATCTTCAATCCTCTCAGTGGTCTAAAGAGCTGCCATTTTATAGTTATCACAGCAATAAGTAAGACAAACAAAAAATCAAAGCTGGAAATGTTGGGGGCATATGCTGGGAAGTCCCTTAATCACTGATAGTATTTTATGTAGTCATAACACAGAGAGGGAGTCACAACCCAGTCATCCAACACCTAGAAAACCTCTTAGCAGAAACTATCTGCTCATATTTCACAATATTATCTACAATGGCAAACAGAAACAGCTTAAAATTGTGTCTAACAAAAAAGATGTTAATGAACTATGCTGTATTAACAAATAAATTATATGGTTGTTAAAATAAATGGGAATGGCCAGGCACAGTAGCTGAGATCTATAATTCAGCATTTTGGGAGGCTGAGGTGGGAAGATGGCTTGAGCCCACGAGTTCAAGACCAGCCTGGGCAACATGGCAAAACCCCATCTCTACAAAAAATACAAAACTTAGCCAGGCATGGTGGTATGCGCTGGTAGTCCGAGCTACTTGGGAGGCTGAGATGCGAAGAGCACCTAAGCCTGGGAGGCCAAAGATATAGTGAGCTGAGATCATACCACTGCACTCTTAGCCTGGGCAACAGAGTGAGATCCTACCTCAGGAAACACACACACATGCACTCTTAAAAAAATAAAAATAAATGAGAAGGCTAGAAAATCTTTAGGATGTAAAGCGACAAAAAAAAAAAAAAAAAAGGACTACAAAAATGAAAATAAAGCTATCAATGGCTGAAGAGTTATAATATGCCAGGCACCATTTGAGGCATTTTGGTCACATTTCATTTAATCTTCCCAACACCTACCAGAAAAGTAACATTATTCTCATTTTATAAAGCAGACACTAGGGCAAAGGCAGGTTAAATAATTGGCCAAGGTCACACAGCTGGGAAATGAAAAAGGCAGAAGTGAACCAAGATATGACTTCAAATGGTGTGCTTTTAATCACTGCACTCACTCACTGCCCTATCTCTTTTAGACATATATGATGATTGCAACTATGCCCCACTATGGAAATCTGGGAACAAACACTGCAAGATAATATACAAATATAAAATAACTATAATATGGGAATAGGATTAAAGGCAATTTAATTTAAAAAAACTATCAGCTTCAATGCTATATTACCAACCCAATGAAAACAACACAATCAAGTAATGAATGTCTGACACCTCCAGTTCTCCACCAGAAGTTTAACTACAGTCATCTTTTCGTGTACGTGGGGGATTGGTTCCAAAACCACCTACATATACCAAAATTTGTGCATACTCAGCAGTCAGCTCTATAGAACCCACATATATGAAAAGTTGGCCCTCCATATATACCAGTTTTGCATCTCATGAATACTATCATTTCTATACACATCTGGTTGGGAAAAAAAATCCATATATAAGTGGACCCACACAGTCCAATCCTGTGTTGATCAAGAATCAACAGCATATATGACCTTGGAAAAAAATCATGGCATTGCTTCCTGTCCAAATTACTCCTAATTTCACTCTTTTCTAGAAGAATGGGATGGAAGTAAAGTATGGTCCAAGGTAAACATCAGAAACCATCAGAGCTGGATACAGCTCACTGGTCAAGGGTGAAGAAGAAAATGCTCAGGAGACAAAGATGCAAGAGATCCAGAAGGAGATGTGCAAAATGCAGAGTAACTGGGGAAGGCAGGTGAGCTTCAGGAGTCCTAGGCGGAGGAAGGGGTGGAAAGAGAGATGTACTCAACCACAGGGGCTCTGCCTGCCTGCTTTTCCTCTTACAATCATCAGAGCTCCTACATGCTCCCCACAGAAACAGCATTGGTTGCTCTCTCCAGTTGTCTTTTGTTTCTTCCTAAAAAACTGGGTTCAGCAATGCTTGGTGGCAACATAAGGGCAGGTATAAACTCTTGCCATTCAGGTGTGTGTGCTGACAGGAAACCAAGACACTTTCTCCTCAGTGAATTAATACCTTTACCACAATTACATCTTCATTTGTACTTTAAGGATAACAAAAATCCTATTCTGGTCAAATTTCAGATGACACTTTGAACAGTGTCATCTTTCCTAAGTGGTAAATGGAAAGAGAAGACACTCTGGATTCTATGAGGGTTGGATTAGAAAGCCCATGTTAACAAGCACTTATTTGGGGGAGTGGGGAAAACAAAGGAATCTCACCTGGAGACACTCGAAGCTGTTTCACTCACTCATATTCTCCTTGCACAGGGGTACTTCAAGTCTCCCTCCCAGACATTCCCATGCATGGCAGCACTAGGCATTTATAACAGTTTTCCAAAAGTCTTGGGGGTGTTATAGCCGATAACACTTTTTCCCTGACCATATCACCTGTGCAATCACTTCAGAAGAATATGTCACAAAGAGTCAAGGCAGAGCTAATTTGTAGTAAAAGATTCTGAGAAAAAGAAAGCAAGCTGGATGCTTCAACAGACATCAACATTTTAGGCTGGGGAAGGAGGGATGTGCAACAGTGTCCCGTAAATCTGATTTTACTGATACTACATCTCAGCCAGACCAGAATCAGTTATGTGCAAAATGATTAATCACCGTCTCCTGAAATATTCAAGGTCCTCCTGCCTTTCCTTAGGATGGAAAAAAAAAGTGAACTCTGAAATATGATTTCAGGCTTTTCTTCATTCGATACTCTTTCAATAAGTAGAACAAAAAATTTTGCCTTGGGTTTGGCTGAGTTATGGGGTTTATCTCCTAAGAGGCAAAGCTTCATTCCTCAGCCCAATCACCAAACTGAGCCCAAGTTATAAGAAGTCTGATAGAGAAGGAAAAATGCTCATCCAATACCCTCAGGCATGAATTTATCACATGTGGTTAACTGTTCTGTGAGACAGGTTTTCTCTTTATATTTACAGAAAAGTGGACACTGCAGAACAAAATTAATTTAACTAACGGACAAGTGCTGATGGTTGTGAATGGCAAAGCCCCGTGTGTTTCTGACAAATGTGGCTGGTGATGTTACAAGAAAACACAGAGCACTGCTGGGGCAGAGGGGTGGGGAAGTGGGAGAACAAAGCCATGGAGCATTATCCTGGGCACAGACTCCAGCTGGGCCCCCACCTACCTTCCCTGCATACTCAGACACGATCTGCTTGATCTCGGCAGAGCAGAGTCCCACAATCTGGCCCACGGAGCTTGCAGTGAGACGGCTCTGCAAGCAAATGGAGGGAATGTTCTCAAAACCAAGCTTTGTCTTCCACAGCACTGGAAAATCTGAACACTCTATTACAGTAAAACAGATAATATTTCTAGGGGAAAAAATAATTTGGCTTTGCCATGTATTACTGACAGGAAGGGTGAAAATAAGCCTCAGGACAAACATGCAGCTATCTCCTGAGTCACTGAGCTGCTGGTGCTACATTTTCCTCAGACCCTGGGCACCCCTGAAAAATGGTTCTTCCCTTCTATGCCCCACCCCAAGGTCTCACCTCCTGAGAGTCACCAAACAGAGCCTGCAGGGGATTTGGCAGGCCTAGGACACAGGGAATAGAGAGGAGCATGGAAAAGGACAAAGAATCTCAGAACTCTAAAATCTCTCTGTACTACCATAGGCCCTTCCCAGGCCTCAAAAGAAATGATCCTTTCAAAGCCCTTGGCTATACCTTCTGGACAGGCTTTGAGATCTGGAAAGACCAACTATAATATCAAAATCCTGCTTCCTACCTAAATAGTCTAACAAGAAAGCAGAAGACAAGAGCTGCCTCAGCATGAGGCATAACTCGTAGTTATGGTGAGGCAAGGCCAGCCCCACCTCTTCCGCAGAGGCCCTGTGAACCTCCCAGTAGCAATATTCTGCTTTCATAGGGGTCCTTCAAGTCTCCCTCCTTAGAGGTTCCCATGGATGGCAGCACTAGGCATTAAAAACAGTTTACCAAAAGGAACTCCCCAGGGAAGAGGAGGTATGGTATGCTGGTGTAAGGAGGGCTCTGGAGAAAATGGGCTCTCTGGGAGAAGACCCCCAGCGGAGCAAGGTGGTGCCAAGTCCCCATCCCTACACCTCCCCCACTCCCCCTCACCTCCTCATTTGCCATGGCGGTCATCTTGGTCATCAGTGATTGTATACGCTGCTGAAAGAGGAATGGATGGGAGCAGCAGTGAGCGGTTCTGAACAGGTAAGACAGAAGCAATATGCCTACATGGATGTTTGTGGTGATATCCAAGGGTGTCTTCCTTGATCTCAAAGGAAGGTGACAAAGACAGGTGACAAAAGGAAACTCGAACTTGTGAAAAGCCCATTCGCTGTGGGAGGTGCTGGCCATTTGGAAAAGCTAGGGATAAGAGTACAATTTCTCCCAAAATGACTTACACAGAAACCTCAGACCTACATGGACCACACACCTCTTCAGCAGCTCGAAGCTCATCTTCCTCGTGGGCATCACCTTTTTCTGTAGCTGACAGCCGTGCTGAAAGTGCCATTTTCTTGTCCTCAGCCTGCAAAAGAAGATGTGAAAACAGTTGAGCATTGGAGTTGGAGACTCAGCAGAGAAAGGACAATACTGCCAAGAGGCATGAGTCTGAAAGAAACACAGACCTGCAGAGCAGCACCACCCCAAGAGAACGGATACTCCAAAGGCCTGAACATCCACTCAAGTACAGGGCAGGCAGGTTAAGCTTCGGGAACTGGCAAATGCCTATTTCCATGTCCCAACTGCTCACTGATTAAATTCAGGCCACACACATTTGCCTGATTTACTCTTGCACTTTGACTGAATCTGGATCTTCTCCCTACTTTAACACTTTCAAGAGCACATCACTACTAAAGGAGTTTCTTCAAACTGCCCATTAAGGCCAATTAGTGAGACACAAAAGAAATTTGGCAGGTATGACTAGCTCTGTATAAATTAACATAACAGAACATGCCAGAGTGCTTTGTAGTGAGGGGTTAAGTACCACTTAGTGAAACTTTTGTTTGGGGGGTATTAGTGTGTGTACACTGAATCATGACAAAAAATGACACATTCACTGCTTAGAGTAATCCAGTTTGAATACCACTGGTCTGAAGGATGAAAACGCAAGCAGCATGCTCTGGACTCAGTCCCAGGCTCTAAATGAACCACATCAAACTCAAGGCACCCTGGATTAGCTCTTCCTCCTCAATCATGGGCTACAGGTTTTAATTCTATCTCTGTAATCCACCAGCTGGGTGACCTCTGATCCCTGCATGTTAAGGATCTCGCGGGTCAAAAGAGAGGTTTGGTCTCAGATGCCCTTCTTGGGCCATCCCAACTCTAGGATGCTTTTCTATAACGAGTCTACCACTGCCCATGGGAACACTCTGAGCTCCTAACTGCTTAGGCACATCTATAGGGGATGAGACTTCTAATTCAAATGTGCGCTCTGACATAAGAACAACAGGACAAGCACAATTTGAACACTATTTCATGAACATCTCATGATTTTTCCAATCATAACCAAATTGCCCAGTCATATATAAAGACAATCTTTTCAGACTGAAATTACATATCAAACTAAATGTACACAGCAAACCCTTATTATATACCAGATACAACATGACATACTCAAATCCAGGAAACACACTGCTGGTGCCTGCAGTGACCAAGATAACAGTCACCACAGGAAGCAGAAGGGGAACCTGGGGGAGCTATGTTTGTGGTGATATCCAAGGAGTGGGTGGCAGGGGAACATCAGGGGGAATGAGTCCTGTTCAAGAAATCTGGGGGTCAGGTGGAGAATAATAAGAGGTTAATAATAGATCTTTTTAAGAGGCCACTGACCACTTTAGCTGACAATTATTTAGAAGGCAGTGGCTATGAACACAGGCGCTTATGTCAGACAGACCTCTGGGTTCAGATTCTTATTATTAACTTTAGAGCTGTGTAACCTTGGACAAATGACTGAGCCTCTCTGAGCATTAGCTTTCCGACCTGAAAAGCAAAAATAAGTATCCTCCTCATAGAGCTGTTAAAGGGAGTAATTGAAAACATACAGAACCCTTAATATAGAGCCTAGAACACAGAAGGGGTTTGGCACCATAAGATTTATGCACCTGCCCTGCTGTTGACAATGAAGCATCATTAGTAACACATAAATTAACAGAAATCTTTGGGCAACCGTTGTGAAGTTAGAAAAGCCCTCCTGACTTACCTGGCTCTTCGATGACTGGCTGCTTCAGCAGAGGGTGGGCCTGTAATTCACAGCTGTGCTCTACCTCACTGTTAGCATCCTGTTGACAACTGTCTAGAGTCTCTTGCCTCGGACAAGGAGTGGTCTGGGAGCCCTGGCAGTGGACTTCATCTTCATACTGTAGAGCTACTAGACCCCATGTGACTGACCCTGGGCCACAACTTTCTATCACCCCTCATTTCCAGCCCCAGGATGAGATGGCTGCTTTGCTCCCCAATCTGCAGAGGAGGCAAGCTAGAAAAGCCAAGATGGGGATGCAGGAGCCAAAGGCAGTTCACACATCCCTACCATCACAGCCTGTCCAGGGACCCGGGCTTGGGCAGCTACAGCCCTGCCATTCCCTTCCTGGGCTTCCCAGGGAGCTGCTGCTCAGCCTGTGAGTGTCAGTCAGAGGTGAGAGAAGTCACTTCCATCTCTCAAGTATTCTCTCCCATTATCTATGCTTTTCTTACCTTCTCTGTTTTGCTCTGGTGGCTAAATCCATATCTCCTGCAGGCCACAAAAAAGGAGTTGAATTACTACTCAAAAAATTATAATAAATTTAGTCAAATACATTTTGGTTGACTTTTTACATGAAAAGCATCAAGAGAATTTACGCCATTTGGTGACTAGAGAAAATGTTAAAGGCCTAAATTACAAACATATGCCACTGTCTTTTGAATAAAAGGGCCAGCCACCCTACTTGCTATGCAAATACTATAATGTAAATCGGAAGTCTCAGAGAGTATAGAGTACAACATTTCCTTAAGTGCAATCATGACTTTTTGAATCAGGAACAACATTTCTAAGCCATAATTTAAGCTAAAAGCCTTACAAATATCTATACAACCAATGTAAATATGTTTGCTTAAGCCAAACATGCTCTTTAATGGCTACTTCCATAACGTAGAGTCTAGCACACTTTTTATTCTCAAACATAATCCAAGCATGATGCCGATAATGTGTACTCACTTCACACAACTTTAAATTCAAAGAAACACACAAGCACAATTCAGTTTAAAAGAGTTTATTTCCTGGCTCTAATTAATCTGTGTTTTTTTAAGAAAGCAAGTAAACCAGTGCAAAAAACCATTCAACCCCCAACAAAAAATGCAAAATCACCTACACCTTCAAGTGATTTGTAAGAAAATAAAGTTAATGCAAACAGTTAAGAAGAACAAATTGAGCCCAATGCAGTGGCTCACACCTGTAATCCCAGCACTTTAGGAAGCTGAGTAAGGCCAATCATCTGATATCAGGAGTTCAAGACCAGCCTGGCCAACATGGTAAAACCCTGTCTCTACTAAAAATGCAAAAACTAGCCAGGCATAGTGGCACATGCCTGTAGTCTGTTACTTGGGAGGCTGGAACCCCAGAATCTCTCAAACCCGGGAGGCGGAGGTTGCAGTGAGCCGAGATCACTCCATCGGACTCCAGCCTGGACGGCAGAGCTAGACTCTGTCTCTAAATAAATAAATAAAAATAAAGAACAAACTAAAGGCCACTCTCTGCCTAGCTTCTACATGCCTCACTTGCTGTGTCTTTTGCTGTCTTCTCATCTGGGTCTTGGTCCTCCAGCTTCACTTCCCACACTCTTTCTGCCCATTCCTTGTCCAACTTCTGCATTGGCCTGATGCACTTTTATCAGTGGCAGGCCTCTTCCCTCATCAAAAAACAGAACATCCTCAGGAGTCTCTTAAGGCCTCTCTTCCGTGGCTCAGCCTAACAACGGTTTCACCTTCCACCGGCAGCACCTTCTGCATTCCTATTATACTTACTACCTGAACAGAGAGCTCTGCACACACTAAGCTGTTCCCTTCTCTCCACTGCTTCTCCACTCACCCTTCACCCCTCAACTCTACAGCCTCCTCCCCTGTGAAGCATACCCCATGTACATGTGCTCAGTCTGGCCTACCCATCCTGCATCTGTTCATGCTCCTCTCACTTCCCAGATGGTGATTACCTGCAACTACTACATATCTGTATCATTCTCCTGAGAGCAATGATTCTACCCTTACATCTGTTTTTTTCCAATATTCACTGAACAACCCAACTAAACATAAGTGAAAAAAATGCGAAAATCAAGAAGCCAAAAGTATCAACTGACCCTGCAACAGACTGTCCTACAACTGGGGAGACCAAAAGGTCACTGCTGGGCACAGTGCTCCCACCGTTCAGAAACAAACCTATAGGTCCAAAGTGTAGCAGACTAAGGTTAAATTTTGGCTATCCACAAAAACTGTAAAGGACCTTATGGTAGATTCTGTGGACTGGCTTAATATCTATTCCATCTTCCAGTACTACAGAGGTTGGAAAAGAGACTATTTTCCATACTCCCTTGCACCTAGGGTTCTGAGTACTATTAAGATTCTACCAATCAGATTCATTTGCTAGAGTTCTGAATATGGAACAGTTAAGAAGGAGAGAGGGAGACATAAAGGTTCCATTGTGTTGTGTGGATCACAGTAGAAATAACCAGGTTCTGGGCTAGCAGCTATCACAGTGGCTTTTAGCTAGCTTTCTGATCCTGGAGGCAGAAACAGCATCCTGAGCTCCAGTTCTAATGTGAAGCTTGGAAGCTGACCCTGGCTCAGCCTAGTTTTCCAGCCCTGTAACTAATCCCTTCTACTGAAACTGGTGGGAGGGTTCTGTTTTCTCAACCAGGGTACCCTAAACGATACAGGGTCTTCCCAAAGTTTCCCACTCCTATAGAAGAGTCCTTGCATCTCAAGTATTCATCCTGCCTTTTTTATGCCTTTAGTCTATGGAGACTTTCAGGGCAGAAGACATATGGCCCTTATCTAAGGTCCAGGGACTTCATGGATTTTCCAAATAAGGAAGTAAACAACCAAATCTGAGTGACTTGATTCCCAGAACCCATCTACTCTTCCTTAAAGACAGAGGCTCTGGGAAGACTCTTCTAAGTAACGAAAACTACATTAGCCCCCCAGATGTGAGCTTCTGTGTTTACACAGCCAGTGCACTCATTGTATGGTGAACATAATTATCTGCCATGAGTAAACCTCTAAGCCTGTGTGTTGAACTCCTGGAGAGAAAGAAATTTGCTTCATTCACTTTTAAAAAATATTTTTAAAACTGACTTATAATTCATATAATATAAAATTCACCGTTTTAAAGTGTATTGCTCACTAGATTTTAATGTATTCACGATGTTATGCAACCATCACCACTGTTGAAATCAAGAAACATTCCATCACCTCAAAAAGAACTCTGGTACCCTTAGCAGTTAATCCCAATTTTTCCCTTTTCCCAGCCCTTGGCTACCACTGATCTGCCTTCTGTCTCTATGGATTTACCAATTCTGGAGATTTCACAGAAATGAAATCACTCAATATGTGGCCTTTGTGTCTGGTTTCTATGACTCATGAGAATACTTTCAAAGTTCATCCAGGTTGAAGCATGAGTCATGACTTAATTTCATTTTATGGCTGAATAATATCCCATTAGATGGGTAAATCACATTTTGTTTCATCAGCTGATAGACATGTGGGTTGTTTACACTTTTTAGCAATTATGAATTGCTAAATTCATAATTGTGCAATATATTATACAACATATTTACAGTGCTACTATAAACATTCATGTACAGCTTAATTCACTTCAATACTGCCATTGCCTGGCAGTTCAGTGCCTGGCACATAGTAGGCACTCAATCAATTATTGCATGAATAGAGTCCACATGATTTTTCTAAAGGCCTCCTCCATGTCACACAGTAGTGAGGTTTCCATGACAAAGCTCTGTCCACAATTGCCTATTAACTACTGCCTCGCTTTCCTCTTTTCCTGTTGGCCCTGCCCATTTCCCCCAAATGCCACTCTGATCTGCAGTGCCGCATGCTTCCATTGGCTCCTGCTTTCCTCTTTAGCTCTGATGCAACAACTCTTACTATCCACACTGTCAGCACCAAAGAGCTCCTCCCATCATCCAGTTCACTTCCTCAGAGCTTAGACCTAGGACTTGGTCTTTAAATCATGGATGTACATTTAGAATAGCACAGTACAGAAGAAATATAAGAAAGGACACACATACAATTTTTAAATTAGTAGGTTAGTAGTTTCACATGCCCAAGTTATTCCAAAGACAAACATTTTCCAATAACTAAATCAAGCACGTATTTTTATTTATTTTTATATGCAGAGATGCACATGAAGAGTTATATGAAATATTTGCAGTAACATACTTTTTTTTGGAAAGAAGAAAAGAAAGAGAAAAAAGGGAGTGAAGAGAGGAAGAAAGAGGAAGAAAAAGAGGGAGAGAGACGGGAATATTGCTTTATTCTAAAAATGGGTATTAATAACAGCAGATTAATATTTTGTGTATTTAAAGTGGAGAATTTTTTTGTGTGTGTATTTAAAATGAAGAGCTCTATAAATATTTATTAAGTTTACTTGTTCCAGATCTGAGTTCAAGTCCTGGTTGTCCTCATCAATTTTCTGTCTCATTGAGTCTAAATCTCTTTATGGGTCTTATGTATCTGGGTGTTAGGGTCGTTAGCTCTTATTGTTGCACTGATCCTTTTACCACTATATCTTTGTTGCTTTGAAATCTATTTTATCAGATGCGAGAATTGCAACTCCTGCTTTTTATTTATTTATTTATTTATTTATTTATGCTCTCCATTTGGTTGGTAAGTCTTTCTCCATCCCTTTGTTTTGAGTCTTTGTGTATCTTTGGATGTGAAACGGGTCTGGATGTAGCATACCATTAGGTTTTGGCTGTATCTTTTGACTGGGAGATTTAGTCGACTTAAATTTAGGGTTACTGCCATTTGATGTTAACTGGCTATTTTATCCATTCGTTGATATAAATTCTTCTTTATGTTGATGCTCTTTACTTTTTGGTATATTTTTAGAAAGGATAATACTGGTTGTTCCTTTCTATGTGTAACGCTTCTTTCAGAAGCTTTTGCAAAGCAGGCCTAGTGGTAATAAAATCTCTGAGTACTTGCTTGTTCATAAAAGATTTTATTTTTCCTTCAATTGTGAAGCTTAGTTTGGCAGGATATGAATTCTGGGCTGAAAGTTCTGTTCTTTAGGATGTTGAATATTGGCCCCCACTCTCTTCTGGCTTGTAGGGTTTCTGCTGAGAGATCTGCTGTAAGTCTGATAGGCTTCCCTTTGTGAGTAACCAGACCTTTCTCTCTGGCTGCCCTTAGTATTTTCTCATTCATTTCAACCCTGGTGAATCTAACGATTATGTGCCTTGGGGTTGCTCTTCTTGAGGAATATCTTTGTGGTGTTCTCTGTATTACCTGGGGTTGAATATTGTCCTGCTTTGCTAGGTTGGGAAAGTTTTCCTGAATAATATCCTGAAGAGTATTTTCCAGTTTGGATTTATTCTCTCCGTCGCATTCAGGTACACCTATCAAATGTAAATTAGGTCTTTTCACATAGTCCCATATTTCTTGGAGACTTTGCTCATTCCTTTTTATCCTTTTTTCTCTAATCTTGTCTTCTTGTTTTATTTCATTAAGTTGGACTTCTACCTCTGATATCATTTCTTCTGCTGGAACAATTCAAGTGTTTAAACCTGTGCATACTTCTCAGAGTTCCCATATTGTATTCTTCAGTTCTATCAATTCACTTATATTCCTTTAGAAAGGATTTAGAAATCCTAGAAATCTCATTAGGATTTCATCAAACCTTTTTTCAAAGTTCTTAGTTTCTTTACATTGGGCTACAACATGTTCTTTTAACTCACAGAAGTTTCTTATTATCCACCTTCTGAAGCCTGATTCTGTCAATGGAATGCATTCGTTCTCCATCAAGCCTTGTTCCCTTGTTGATGAGGAACTGTGATCCTCTTTAGAGGGATAGGCATTCTGATTTTGAGTATTCTCAGCCTTTTTACGCTGGTTTCTTCCATCATTGAAAATTTATCCACCTGTTGTCTTTGTAATTACCAACTTTCAAATTAGGTCTCTGAGTGGACGTCCAAGTTGTTAATTCCCAGGGCTGAAATCTGAGCAACCCACTGCGTCAGCCAAAACAGCTGCGTTAAGACTGATGGTGCTTTTCTGTCCAGGTATCTCCAGTCTGGCTTCCTTCTTGAGTTCGTAATAAGTGACTCTGCCTTCCCGGAGCTCCAAACGTTGGTCAGAAGGGGAACCAGTCCCGTTTACTCTGCACCAAGAGCTGCTGCACCAAGGTGCTGGCAAATCCGCTGTGCCAACCACAAGAGTCGTGCTGGCAACCCGTGGGGCTCCTCCACTGGGAATCTTCTGGTCCGTGAGCAAAAAAATTTGTCTGAAAGTGTGGCGTCCTCTTGTTCTCTGCGCTTTCACTGAGAGCTGCAATCCTGAGATGTTAGTGATCAGCCATCTTGGATCATTCTCTGGAATACTGACCTAAAAGCCAGAGGGCACTGTGGGTGAAAGGCTGATTAGTGACCTTCAACCCCAAAGAAGAAACACTGATTTCAGACCTTCTTGCTCTAGAAGTCAAAATACTTTTCCTCTGACAAGAGATAAGATAAGGTAGAAAATAGAAACACTGGCAGGGGGATCTGGACTCCTAAAGCTGTGATGCCATACTGCAGTGGAGGGTGGGTGAGGAAGTCAGGAATGCTGCCATGTTAAACAGAAAGGGAGGATGGAGCAAAGTGAGTCACAGGGCCAGCAGAGGGCCAGATGGGGGCAAGGAAGAAAAGGGCCAGAGGGTGAGACTTCCCATATTTGTGGCTAGAGAGATGGCTATGTGAGGAGTAATAAGTCAAGGAGCCCATGGGCTGCTGCCCCAAAATATAGCACCACAATATGCTGAATAACTTGAATTAAAGGTATTTGAAGTTCAGCACATGTTAGAATAGGCTTTTTTCTCTTATCTGTATAAAGATAGGACCTGTTAAAGAAACAAATGTCTTCCAACCCCTCCCTGAAATCTCAGTATTTACCACAGAGCAAGAGACTGAAAATTGAATAAGATACCTAGAACCCAAACCATGCTCTATTTCCATCCCATTCAATTTCTAAGAGTAATTTATTAACCATGGTCTGATTCATTTCCCCTAAACATCATTTACTACCCCTCAAATTGCCATATTTCCCTATCTGCCTTTCCCCTGTGAAGAAGGATATACATGCCTCTGGACATCACTGGGTTACTGGGTAGTCACACTTCTGTGGTTTTCCCCCACACAATAATAAATTATGTATGCCATTCTCTCCTGTTAATCTACCTTTTGTCAGTTTATTTTCAGTGAACCTTCAGAAGGCCAAGGGTAAGCTTTCCCATCTGCACTCATACATAAGCACACAAGAACAAGGAGAAAAGGTCACATCTGAGGGCATTAAAAAAACTGAAAACTTGCTGCTAATAATGATGATTACAATAAGGAGAATAATGACAGCAGCGTGTAGTTAACATTTACTGAGTGTTTTCTACATTGAACAAACTGCTCAAAATTATATATGTATGTACATTTAGAATAGCACAGTACAAAAGAAATGTAAGGAAAGACACACATACAATTTTTTAAATTAGGTTAGTAGGTTCACATGCCCAGGTTATTCCAAAGATAAACATTTTCTAATAACCAAATCAAGCACAAATTTTAAAATTTAAATTGAACTTAATTAAAAGCAAAATTCTGTTCCTGAGCCACACTAGTCGCATTTATATTGGTACATATATATTGAGCCTCTTAATAGTTTATTACCTTAATTAAGCTAGTCATTTTTTTAAACTTTCTGAATGTTATTATTAGTCTCAAAGAGGAGAATGAGCTAAATATACTATCAGAATGTCCTGAGTACCCACTACCCCACCTACCACAAACTTACCCTCTCCTTGCCAAAAAAGCTAAACATAAAACAAAATAACATCTCTCTCCTGCCCCCCAAAACCCAAAACCTAACACCTTCAGGAAAATGCCTACCGCAGCCTTAGAAATAAGTCAGCATGACTGTACCAACAGGAGCCAAAATTGGTATCAAGACACTGCTCGCTCTTTCTTACGCTCAGAAAACCTGTCTAGCTTCCTTTCCTAAAGAGAGACAAGCCAGACTCTCATCTCAAACTGCATCAATCACTCCCAAGGACAGGCAGGGAGGCTAAATCAGCAAGTTAAAGCCTCACTTGCCCAACTGCAGCTGGGCATGGCTAGAGATACTCTCTCATGATTCCGGGGCTGGCTTCCTGAGCACACAGTGCCCCATGCTTAGAAGGGTCCTGCACTTGGCTGTTGTTGCTGTCTTTAAATTCTTAATAATTATCATTAATAACTGCTAACAAGGTACTCTGCATTTTCATTACATAGCTAGTCCTGGTGATGCCTGACTTGGAGGAGGCATTCAATTCAGAGCAGTAACTAGTGAAATCTGGGGACAGCCATTACACGCAGCCTAAGGCCAGAACTACTTCAACTTCCTTTGAAAGAAACAAGGTTTTCTTCTTAGGAAGAAAAAAATTAAACAAAAACAATTGCATGCACTTCCATTTGGAAACTAGAATAATTAAGCCTAATTTCTCGATGGTTCTCTCCAGTACCCTAGAGAGCATGCAAAGCCATCAGATGCTCACTTAGGGAAATGCCAGTGGCAGTGCAGTTAGTTCCAGCCACTCCACAAGGGTTGGGCTGTGAGGCAGAGCAGCACACAGAAGCCTCTCCCAACACAAAGGAAGGAAGCACAAGGAGACTTACTCACATCAATGTATCAGTTAACCTAAAAAGAGAATGCATAGGACACAAAGGAAGGTTAATACCCCGTGCCAACCAAAAAATTCAATGGGGAGAAGCATGTCCTTGCATTTTTTTTAAAGTAAAAACTAAGAATATAAGATTTTTTTTTTAACTAGAGATTTTTTAAAAAGTGATAAAACTACTTCTAAAGTCTTCATTTTCCTAGTTAGGAATATTCACTGGAAATCAAAATTATTATTCTAACACTTACAGTGTAATCACTGAAACTGCTTTCACTGCATTCATTTACCTGAAGATTTCAATAAATAACAGGGGCATGAAGGACAGACTACCCTGGCCTCTGCAAATGCCTAGAACACCCCAACTCCCAAATGAGGGCAGAGCCCGGTGCATATTTCTAGAGAAGAATTACAAAGGATACCAATGGAAATAGATAATTCTTTACCAGAGAAAAGTCCCTGATACTGGAAATCTCATGGCTGAAAGTAGAAACTCAATCAGGTAGAAGCCAATCAAATTAATCCAAACGAAGCAAGTTAAATTAGCTTTTCTTTTAAATAGTTTTACAAAAAATACACCTAGACTGGGTCCCACTCATTACCTGCCATATTCCAAAAGCGTAGCATGGATTCGAGATTCTTCATCAAGCAGCTCCTCTGCTCCCTGGTGGCGTTTGTATTTCCGACGGGGCTTGTACACTTCCTAAGTGGATGAGACAGCCAAGTTACTAAGTGTGAGAAGGCTCTCTGAATTGGCTGCTGGATGCTTCCCGCAAGTAGGAGTGGGCTCTTTCCCTAGCATAGCCTGGATGTCAACAGCCCTGCTATAGGACTACAGAAGGCACTGCTATAGGACTACAGAAGGCACTCAGGCCTTCAAGGAGTCTACTTCATTCTTTTCAAATAGATGTGCCATTTCTTTTCTTTCTTTTTTTCTTTGTTTTGAGATGCAATCTTGCTCTATCGCCCAAGCTAGAATGCAATGAGCTCCCTGCAACTTCCACCTCTAGGGTTCCAGCAATTCTCCTGCCTCAGCCTCCCAAGTGGCTGGGATTACAGGTGTGCACCATCATACCCACTAATTTTTGTATTTTTAGTAGAGACGGAGTTTCACCATGTTGATCAGGTTGTTCTCAAACTCCTGACCTCAGGTGATCTGCCCATCTCAGCCTCCTAAACTGCTGGGATTACAGGGTGTGAGCCACCATGCCTAGCTGATGTGCTATTTCTTAATATAGATGTTTCCTAGTTTATTTAACTTTCATGGAGGTACATTTAGGTTATTTCCAAGCTCTTATTAAAAACAATACTTATACTTGTATAAGTAGACTGCTAGGACAAGTGAAATCACTAGTTTGATGGGTGTTTCTGCTACCAAGTTGAGCCAAAAGACAATCTGTACTGATTCGTGTGCCCACCAATTTGTTAATCACACCTTTGGCAACAAAAAATATACACAAGCCTTGACACGTGGGTGAAAAATATTTCACTGCTTTGATTAGGCTTCCCCAAATTATTAGTGAGGCTAGAAATCTTGCTTATTTGCCACTTATCTTGTTCAAATCTTTCATTTTCTTAAACTGTCATTTTTTTAAAACCAATTTGTAAACATGTTATGTAATCTGAGCACTAATCCTTTGACTTTTATTTAGGTAGCAAATAACTTTCACCCACTGAGTATTGGTCCTTTGACTTTTATTTAGCAAATAACTTTCATGTAATTTATTGTCCTTTGACTTTTATTTAGCAAATAACTTTCATCTAATTTATTGTCCTTTGACTTTTATTTAGCAAATAACTTTCATCTAATTTATTGTCGATTTTGTTTCAATTTGGTGCTTTTTGGTCCCATGACATTCTAATTTTTTATGCAGCCAAATTTATCATTTTCTTCATAGTTCAAGATTTTTGTCATACTTCTTATTCCATAGATTACATAAAAATTCTCAGATGTTACTTTTATAGCTATATTTAGCCTACAGATTACATTTAACCTTTTAATCCATTTGGACTTTTTAATATAGTGAACGGGAAGAATCTAAGAGTTTTTTGCCGTCTTCAATTCCTTCTGCTTTATGTTTCTTCACCTTGTTTCCACGGTTCTTTTTCCAAATCTCCTAGCTATTCTTACTCATTTTCTCTTCAAATGAATACTAGTGTCAGTTTGTCAAGTTTGTTACAAAAAAAAAAAACGGTTGGGTTTTCATTAGAATCACACCACACCTGTAGAATATTTGGAGAAGAACTGACATTTTTATAACATTGAGTCTTGCCTTGAGAAGCAGGGAAACACTGAAGTGTTTCTTATTCTTTAATAAAGTTTTCCAGAAAGAATACAAGCTTTTTACAGTTACTACCCATCCAGACCTTTCCACCACCCAGAGCCAGAAACCAGTTCACCATTCACAGATGTTAACCCAGAATCCCACCCCGCACAAAAAACAAACAAACGAAAACCCCACCTTAAATGGTCAAAGAAAATTTCAATTCTTTTAGGTTTAATACCAGAAAAGGAGAGTGGATACAAACCCTTCAGAGACATACAGCTTTTTAACAAAAGTGTTTGGGGGTTTATCCTCAAGAGAATTTATGACAAAATGTACTAGAAACTTTCACTGAATTTTCAAATTATTACAGTGTGATTTCGTTATAAACAAAGAAGCAAATATCCATCAATTTACCATGAGTTATATTCTAAACTTATACACATGTACACATATATATCCTAAACAATATATGCGGCATGTTGTAAGTGATCAATAAATGCAGGTCTTCAGCCCTAGATGAAGTGGTTTGTCATTCTACCCCAAATGAAATGTCCTTCTTGACTGCTAAGCCGGCTGTCAAATAGTACCCTAGTAGTATCTACTACTCAGGGCTCTTGATGCAGGCAGGCAGCTGCTATGCCAGTAAGGTGTTCGGGCTGCTCCTCCCCACACCTCGTCTTCCCTACTACCCAGGTTTATTGCATCTAATCATTACCTGAACATCGCCACAAAGAGCATTACCATCAGGCTTTTCCAGATAATGGCATTTTATTTTAATTGGATGTTCCCCATGGATAATTCTAGTTAACTTTATTACTATTTTACTTTAATATACAGTTTCAAGCATACAGAAAAACATTATTTCTGTAACACACACTATATAATCTAAAATGATTTTGTGGAAAAGGAAATAGAACAGGGCCTGAGATGATGCTAAAGGGTTGTTCTTAAAAATTCCTACCACAAATATTCCCCAGTTTACTGCTGGTATCTACATGAATCGGAAGCTCTAAATAACATAAAACAGATTTACAGGGAGATAGAAAATATAATCAAACTATGTGGCATTGATTACTGTGCCTGGTTTAGCTTCCACTGAGCTCTACTATTACAGCTTGAGCTTCACTTCTATTGTCCTTAGTTACAACTGAAAGAGTCAATAACCGAAGATAAGAAATTGGATTCTTCTAAAAAAAAAAAAAAAAAAAAAAAAAAAGTACTAACTCCAAAACAAGAACATACGGACACCAACAGCTAAAAGAACCTTTTATTCTTCCAAACAATGACAACGTTGGTTTTCGTGAATTATTCCTCACATGTTAAAGTATAAAACTTCATATACATCTCACCTTTCTTTTACACTTTATAACCACACTATGAAGTAGAGACAGGGTACACACTGTTCGCTTTACTACTGAGGAAGCAGACACTGAATAGTTTGTACAAGATCCATAGGACATTATGAGGCCTGGCCCTAGGTCACCTGGTTTCTCATTTCAAGGCTTGCCCCCGACACTAACTTGCCCAGTGTTGCCATTCTAGCCACCCACTAGCCATTTCAGCTAGCCCTCTCACAAGACTCATTCTACAATCTCAAGCTGCCACATGGATCACAGCAATGGTCTGCTTAAGTAACACAACCTAAATGCCAGGGGTTTACAGGCCAACTATAAGGAGCTATTGCTAAGTCACCCTTTAAAGCAACAGGTGTCAGGAATGCTGATATCTAGTCCCATCATTGCCACTAATCAACTGCATGACCTTGGGAAAGGGAGTTCCCCTCAATGGGCCTCAGTTTCTGTATCTGTAAAATGAAGTTGTACTAACAGATATTGAAGGACACTCCTAGGATCTCTTCCTTCGTGCTCTTTTAAACCTGTAAAGATACTGACTTGATAATTATTAATTCCACATTAATTCCATCAAAAATTTAAAACCTGAGACTAATTAAAAATATGCCATGCTTTATACAATGTGCTCTTAAAAAGGAATATATAATCAATTTATCCTTCTGTCACTTATCATGACAGATTACTGTCATGTTGATAACTACAACAATAGTTATAGTTATCAATTACTGAATAGTAGGTATGTGCCAGGCACATTCTGCTGTATCTGTGCTGCTCATTTGATCCCCACATCTATGAGGGTAGTTATCTTTGTTTTCTTTCTATAGTTTAACTTAGGCACACAAAAGTTAAAAAACTTGCTGATGGCGAAAAAGGCAGTAAGTGATAAAAACAGGATGACTCCAGAACTGACACACTTAAGCACTTTGTAAAATATCTCATACCTCTACCTTCATCACCCTTTATCTAGGTTCTGATATTTATTTTTGCAGACGCTAAAAGGCACAATGCAGGGTTAAAAAATTATGGTGACTCTTCTGCAAAGTAGAGAACTCCTGCACTGTGAGAGTCAGAGCTCTACTTTGCAGATCTGGTTACAAGTCAGGTTCACCTGTCAGAGAAATTAGTCTGAGTTCACATTCCTCAAGGCAGGGAAGGGAGGCAGAACAGCACAGCACCATGGCAGTGTCTCACAATTACTGTAGACAACTTTTTTATTGAAATAGCGGAGCAGGCAGTGAAACAGCCACCACCAAGCTGGCATTCTACACTCAGAAGCTCCAGTGGGCCAGCCCACACCCGACTCAACAGGAAGCTGACCTTAACAGTTCATCCTCACATCCCAAACCCAACTCCAACAGATCTATCTTACTTAGCTTATGTGCCCTGTCAGTAATTCTGCCTTTTACCTAAAGGGACCCCACAGATGTCCTGAAAAATCTTGTAAGACAATGTTACTACAAATGGGACAAATCAATGTTTCTTAAAAATTCTCACATTAATAAAAGAACAACAACAAAAATGAAGTGCCTAGGTAGTGACTGAAGGAATGATGAAAGGCGGATGGATGGCAATCATTTCTGTAGAATTTTCTTCAGTGACACCCCTCTCCCTTGTTCTTCCACTCTCTTTTACATGAGCTCTGCTATGTAAGTATGCATCTTCTGTTCTTTGAGGTACAGCACAAGTCCCACCTCAGGTCTCCTTGAGTCTGTACTAAACAGTATGACTCGGTGGGTAAGAATAAGATTGTTGTGTTATATAAGTGAGCGAAAGATGGCTCCTATGTTGTAGACTTCTTCACAGAAGACTGACACCCATTGGCTCAAAAGCTGACCAGGACAAACTCAAACTTTTACTTATCAAAATGTTTTATACATGGCCTAAGTAATCAGGTTTATGTTTTGTCATTTAGACCCTGCCTACTTTGCAAACCCTTCAAAACACCACCCTTCAAAACTGTTGGCATTTTTCTAACCATAGACAGGATAAGCCCTGTGGCTATGAAGGCCTCAAGCCACTAAGGCTCTTCATAGGCCTCTGACCCACAGACCCCCTGTGTGATGCTCAGCAACATCGCCAAGAAAGATGAGCTTCCTCTACGATCTGGGGAACTTCCTTTCTCCTCCCACTGTGGATGTTGCCCCTGCACCCAAGCTTCTGGATGGTCTCATGGTACAAGGGACTCCTTTATCCTGTAAGCAAACCTGTCAAAGAATCACCCAAATAAAGCTTATATATGCTGTTGCCACTTCTAAGGATGGCTAAACACAGTCAGCTAAAGATTTAATATTTAAACAGTTTTATGTTATGTCTAAGCAAGAATAAGTAAAAGACTATTGGTTGAGGCACAAAGGCATCATGCTGACCAAAAAGATAACAACAGGACAGTCCCCACCTGGCACCCATTCTTTGGCTGGGCAAAGGGTCTTCAAATGAGAAGTCACAGTCAATGTTCCCATAGGAACTGAAGAGGTGGTGGGAGAGAACCCAACCACTTTGGATGCATCTGAGTCTCTGGGACCCAAATAAGTAATATCCCAGGGCCCTGAAGTAAGTCAGCAATAGTACTGCAAAACTGGTGCCAGGAATATGTAGAAAAGCAGAGACCAGGTGAAAAGCCAGAAAGGTGGAGGAATGCCAACACCTGTCGTGTTAGAGTCAGGTGCAATATCAAAATCTGGCTCCCTCTTCCTAGCTCTGCAACTACACAGGGAATTTATTAACCTTTCTGAGCTTCAATTTCCTGATTTGTAAGATGGAAATAATAATATATAACTCCTTAAGTGTTCATGAGGAATAAAGGAGCTAATGCTTGTTAAATGTCTACCGAAATGCCGGGCACATGGTAGGCACTTAATAAATACACAGCAGCTACATACATATTTTATAAAAGGCTGGGTCTAACAACTTACATTTTATAAAAGGCTGGGTCTAAAAACCTATGTGTTTGACTTTATTTTTTTAGTCCTTAATTTTCCATTCACAACTTAAAATTAAGGATTTCCTTTCATTTACTAAGGGAGGAATTTTCCTTGAGAAGCAAGATAATAAATAAAATTTCAAGAGGTTTAATTTTATGTACTGACTCACAAGAATAGGTCAGGGATATGCACCACAGCCCTAGAGTCTCTGAGAGCTTCTGGGATTCTCATTTCAAGTCAGCTAAGGAAGGGCTTGCAGAAATGGCAAGAGGGAGGGAGGAAAGTTAATGGTGATGAAGTTCAGCTGAGAAACCTATGCAGACAGCTCCTGGAAGTGAGGCGTATTTTCAGCAGATGAGAAAAAGAAAACCCAAAGGCAGCCTTTAGCCATCCATAAAGATTCTTTATCATTCCTACTGAAAATGTATTGCTGATCAACTGAGGGTAAGTTCATGAATGAAAAAGGAAATAAACTAAACAATACAAATTATAACCAGGGACTCACAATTTTTTTTCCATTTCCTTTTTTTTTTTTTGAGACAGGGTCTCACTCTGCCACCCAAGCTAGGGTACAGTGAAACAATCACAGCTCACGGCAGCCTCAACCTCCCCAGGCTCAGGTGATCCTCCCACCTCAGCCTCCTGAGGAGCTGGGACTACAAGTGCATGCCACCATGCCTGGCTAATTTTAGCATTTTTTACAGAGATGAGGTTTCACCATATTGGCCAGGCTGGTCTCAAACTCCTGGGCTCAAGTGATCTGCCCAACTCTGCCTCCAAAGTGCTAGGATTATGGGTATGAGCCACCAAGTCTGGCACATTTTCCTTCATTCTGATACTATTTTCTCATCAGCTGGCAAACAGCATTTTATCTAGAAGCTCACAGCAGTACAGTTACAAGACTGGGTTTGAGTCCTGCCTCCACCATCACCACTGTGACATTGGGCAACTTATATATAACCTGTGTTTCAGTTTCCTCATTTGTTAAAAACAACAACAACAAACTGCTACTTCATGGGATTCTTGTGAGGACTAGATAAATTCGAGATGAACACTCAGAACAATGTTTGGGCACTATGTAAGTATTTGTCATTATCACATATTCCTTAATTCTCTGCAATCACATTACAAGCAGAAGTGGATTAAAAAAAAAAACTCCATTAAAAATGAAAAGAAAAATTAATGTAACTCTAGGGGCCTTAACTATTCCATGGGCATAGAGATGCCAGGCCCACTTTCAGTACTAGGATGATTGGCCTTTTCTTCCGAGCTATAGGGCTGAACACTATACCATTTTCTCATTCTCTACCCAGGGATCAGAGTGAGATTTACAAATGAAGATATTCGATTAAGCATTAAAAATTTTTAATGTGGCCGGGCGCGGTGGCTCAAGCCTGTAATCCCAGCACTTTGGGAGGCCGAGGCAGGTGGATCACGAGGTCGAGAGATCGAGACCAACCTGGTCAACATGGTGAAACCCCGTCTCTACTAAAAATACAAAAATTAGCTGGGCATGGTGGTGCATGCCTGTAATCCCAGCTACTCAGGAGGCTGAGGCAGGAGAATTGACTGAACCCAGGAGGTGGAGGTTGCGGTGAGCCGAGATCGCGCCATTGCACTCCAGCCTGGGTAACAAGAGCGAAACTCCGTCTCAAAAAAAAAAAAAATTTTTTTTTAATGTTTGAATGTGGCTTTTGCTACCAAAAAAAAATAAATAACCTTAATATGTACTATTTTGAATAAACAGATTTAGAATAAAATTCAAACAGTACAGAATTTACAGGAAAAAGAAAATTTCCCCTCCAGTCCTGCTGCTGGCCTAGCAATTTCCTGCCTCAGAAATAATGTGATTATCACCTGGTTTTCATATTGTTCCAGAAATGAAGTAACATTTAAAACAGGGTAAAGCAATATCTTATCCAACCAATCGGTTACTACTTGCCATGAGAAGTGTAGTTAGCTTTTTTTTTTTTGGAGATGCATCTTGCTCTGTCACCCAGGCTTGAGTGCAGCGGCACGATCTTGGCTCACCGCAACCTCCACCTTCCAGGTTCAAGTGATTCTCCTGCCTCAGCCTCCCAAGTAGCTAGGATTACAGGTGTGAACCACTACACCTGAATGATTTTTCTATTTTTAATAGAGATGGGGTTTCATCATGTTGGCCAGACTGGTCTTGAACTCCTGACCTACTCGCCTCACCCTTCCAAAGTGCTAGGATTACAGGTGTGAGCCACCATGCCTGGCCAGCAGGAATCCTTAATAGCATACAAAAGACTCTATATTGATAAGTGAAAAAAACCACAAAATTATCTTTAAAGTATAATTCCAATTCAGTTTAAAAATGCACAATAAAAACATGGAAGAAATATATCCAAAAATTAAAAGTGGTTGCTTCTGTGTTGTAAAATTAAGGAGAAAATCAACCTTGATTTAATTCCCCTACATCCATAAACCTTTTTAAAAACTTTTGAGGATGCTTTAAACTGAATACCTGTTTCACAACCAGGAAAGAAAATTACTCTGAGGTCATATCATTCTTTCTTATTATTGTTAATACTGCCACCAAATCTGAAAACAGTATCTGGCTTTGGAGTGTCACTTTCTTAAAGGTTTTCTACCCCTTCCATTTCTAAAATGGAATTGAGAAAAAAAGAAATTACAATGATAAAGTGATCAAGACCTTTTGTTCCATAGGAGATTTTTGTTTCTTTCATTACCAAGATTGTTCTTTTCAGAGTAATCACCTTGGTATACCACAACTTGGTAGACCACACATTTATTTATAGGATAAGCCAATTTGGAATTCTGTTTCTGGAAAGACTCTGCAGCCAGTTCACAAAGCCACAAACACCAGACAATATCAATCTTCACAGTGACACAGGTATGTAACCCATGCCATCTGTATAAGTACATCTGATATTTCATTTGGGTGGCATATTAATACAAGAAACTATGCAACTATTAAAAACCAACTATATAATTTAGATGAAGTAAAAAGCATGCAAAACAACAAAATAAATTATTTTCAGAAGAGAGAGAATGTGCACACAGGAACCTAGGCTTTATTCCCCTCAGCTCAGGTAGGAAGGCTGGGGGTGGAGAGTGCAGCTGACGAGGTTCCACAGCTCAGGTTCAGTGTTCTGTAAATGGTCAAAGGCTCCACTAACCCACGTGCTGGGAAAGTGGGCACACATGTGCAGACTCGCCGTGATTAAGATATCCTGTGAATGGGTACAAAGGCCCTCCCAGAGCTTCCCACACAAAGCTCAGAGGCTATTCTGTCTATGCAAAGCCATCATGGGGGTGGGGGCAGTAACCTCAAGTTATCATCTCTATTCACCACCTACTCTTCAGAGCTATTCAAAGTTTACACCTGCCACTGGGATAAACTAAAAAGGGCTCTATGTTTGGCTATTTCTCCGTTAAAACTGGAAGTAAGAAGACAGAGCAGTAGTGTGTCAGGTTCTACCTGTGCATGCTGGTGTCCTAGCCCTGAGCAGGGAAGCACAGCCATCTGAGTCTAACTCCTAAGCAACCCCTGCAGACAAAAGCCTCAGGAGCAGCACTTTTGTGATTTAAATCAAAGGGCTGAGACTAAGCAGGGCTCTGACAGAAGAATACAGCCAGGGAACTAACTTACTGAGAGGTCCACAACCGTCTTGATGGCCTTTTCTTTTCTCTTTATGAAGTCATCATCCTACAAGACAAAACAGAGAAATTAAACAAATCCCATGGGAAAATTAAAACTCTAGTGAACCACTCAGAATCTGCCTCATAAACTGACTTCTCATCACTACTTTGCCTGAAGAAGTCTCAATTTTCTAACAAATTGGAATATATTATCCATAAGAAAACTAGGAACCCTGAAGATGGCTCCAACATAGTTCCCTACACAGTCAGCAAGAAAAAGGGGGTCATAAGGAGTAGTGCTTAAAACAAGAGTTCTCATTTCAAATCCTCTTAAGCACTGACACCTCAAAGTTACTTAACCTCTAAGCCTCAGTTTCTCTGTCTGTAAAACAGAGATAAAAACACCTATCTCAGAGGCAGTAAGGATTAAAGAATAAAGGCCATAAGATGTGTTGATACTGGCATGTAGTAAATACATGATGGCTATTAGCTATTACTGTGGTAATTATTATTATTATTAAATTGTTACTATAGAGATATTCTGGACAAGTGGCCTCTCAAAAAAACTTTATACAAAAATCAACCATTGTTCTTAAGTTAATAAAACAAGTTTTAGATCAAATACTAAGTTAATAAAACAGTTTTAGATCAAACACTAAAACTCAGAGAAAATGACAAAATTATAGAGCTTTGCACTCAGTGACTGTGAAAAGAGGCACTAAGGATTCCAAGTAGGAGGTGGGAATATAGGGGAGCCTGAGCTTACTCGGCTCTTTGCAGGGGAGTCTCTAAGTGTGCACTCTGGTTCTCAGCGGGACAAGAAGAGAAAATCACAATACTGACCTCAGGGAGACTATAAGTCTTCTGGAACTGGGATACAGAGTAGGAGCGGATATAGTCACCCATCTCTTCTTTTGTTTCTATAGCTCGTTTCACCAGCCACTAGGGAAGAAAGTGAAAAGACATGAGTTGCTCAGGACAACATCCCACTACAGTGAAGGTCAATTCAGACATGGCACAACTCATGAACTCAAATCAGCACAGCTGAACTGAACAGGTGATAAGAAACTATCACCACATGCTGCCCTATAGGAAAAGCAACCAGCTGGACATCCCAGATGTTAAGATCCAGCAGGATCTAGTGCTGAGTACTCATGCAGGAGCTTTAAAGCCTTACGTAATATCGCTGAGCCTCAGTTTTCCTTTCTGTACAAGCGTATCAGTTCCTTTCACCTCCCAGAGCTATCATGGGAGCAAATGAAATCACAAGTAGAAGAGTGATTTGTAAATACCTGAAGCACAAAACAGTTATCTCCCAACTTCTGGTCCTACTGGCAGATCTTCATATAAATCCTTTTCCTGTGCTCCTTACACCACAGATCAGGGAAATGGGAGAGAACCACAGCAAATGCTAGTGTAACTTCCCATTTGACAGATGAAAAAATGTCCAAAATACTCAGATTCAACAATGGTGCATACTGAGTACACAGCTGAAGGCACTGGTTTATCCTGACATTCACAACATTCTCTCTCAATCCTCAAAACTTTAGATAGTACTGGCTGAGTTTTACAGAACCTGAAATGCCGGGAGACTATATAACTTACTCATGGATCCACAGCTAGCAAGCTGCAAAGATGGGAGTCACAACTTAGAGACTATTCTACAAGGAAGACTGGACAAACGATTTTATGAAATGTTTCCCACCTTTGTTAGGCTGATACCCAGAAACAGCTACTCTTCACTTCTCCCAATTTAAAACTCGTTATTATCATTAAAACATTACCCCACTAAAATCTGTAGAAGATCCAACCAGTCTGAGGGTAAGGGTGTAAAGTATAAAAAGAACCTTTGCTTTTCCTCCCCAGCTCTTCATTCATTCTCTTTTCTCTGAAAAACATCACAGAGGGGTTCCACTCCCTCCCCAGAGAGAGCTACTACATCTCAAAAGCAGTTTTTGGACAGTAGTTGTGTTCCACAACAGCATAGCACACTTGGTGAGGGTTAGCCACCTAGGAAAGCAGGCACATGGCACATAACACAGTGCTGCATGGTGCTCCTGCAGGGATGGGAAGAGATGCTTGTTCATAAATCACAGCCAGCTCAAGTAAAGCACATGTTTAGGAAATAGCTGCTCGGAACAGAGGTAACTACAAATAACTCTATGAGGAATATTCCTTGCTGTTAGTATCTTCCATATATGTCTACCACTTCACACCCAAACAGTGACCTCCAGCACTAACTAAAATCCAGAACCAGATACAGATGATCAGAGAGCATTCAGAACTATTGTAGCCCCTTACCTGTACTCCATCCCAGTATGATGGCCCAGGACAACTAAGGGCCAACTAAGGCATTGAGGTCATTGCTTAACTCAGTTTAGCTCTGCTTTCTTTTGAACTGTGAGAACCCAGTTTCTGGCTTTTCACATCTGCTTCCCTTTCAGAGCTGCTTCCACTAATCCCAGATCTACCCCAAGTTACTGCTTGGCTGGATCCTGGAGATCATGATCCCACTAGGACGGGAAAGGACGGGAAAGCTTGTTGAGTCGTAACAGCTGTTTTGGAGTTTCCAGCATGAAAGGCTATATAGGGAAACTCTTGGACAGCCTAGCTCTGCCACAGCTTCCCTAGCACTCAAGAAAAATATCGACCTTCACAGGACTCACATGTCCAACACAGGAGAAAAAAATATGACCTAGAACCACCAGGAATTAGAAGTTAGAGCTGTTTTCTGGCATTCAGAGAACATTACTACAGCTTTGCTAAAATGGCATAAACACGATGATGAGCTTCTAGAATCACACAAGAGAAGTAGGTCAACAGCTTCAACTGCTGGCCCACAATTATTCTTTCACTGCTGGCGGGGGCAGGGTGGGGGTGGGGGTGGGCGGTGGAGGAGGATCAACAGGGAAAAGCTACAAGCACATGGTGACTTTCATCATGTTAACTGTATTTAATTTGAGGGATTGCTTTTTTCTGAGCTTGAGAATTAATGGCCATTCTTTTAGGAAATGATAAAGGAAGATAGTAGTTATTTTTTTAAAAGTGTCCTTGCCTGGCAAACTACAGGTGGCAACCCTAGGCCACTTCATTCTTGCTTTAAAATTTTACAGGTCCTTGAAATTAAGAAATTGTAACCACTAGCCTGGGGCCTCCCATCCAGACAAACCCTCTAGCTTTCCACTCACAATGGAGAACATTCAGACCCTCAAAACACCCAAACTGACTGCAGAAGATCACTTCCCATTTTTCTTCTCACAACCTGACTAGATTTTTTTGCCCCCATAGTCCTAGTATAGGGTTAACAAAGGTCTAATCTCTAAAGATCCACGTTTTGGGGGAAAGGTAACAATGTCACAGTTTGATTATGTTGGAGGTTTCAATGATAATCAACACAGGGCCTCAACTTCCCATTTTCACAAAAACAATCAGGTAGTGTCCCCTTGTATCGGAAAGACAAAAAGGCTAACATACAAATCAATTTTAAGGTAAAGTCGTGACCTCAAATTTACAAATTTCAGGGCATTCGATTTGAAGTCAGGTGGAGGGGAAGATTCAGCAGGTAACAGTAGTAACAGAAACAAGTATATAGCACTCAGAGAGCACTTACTAAAAAGGTCAGTCTTTCATCTACGTGCTTTAGATATACAACTAATTTAATTCTCATTCTATCATGTAGGTGATATTATTTATTTCTGTTTAACAGAGAGAAAGTTATTTACCCAAGGTCACACACAGCTAGAAAGTGACAAATTTGAACCCAGGAAGTCACCAGGGTCCATACTCTTGACCCCTATATTTCATAATCTTAACACAGAACTAGAAAACTTTTCTAACTTCTAGGACTGTGTACCTTCCTTCTCAGTGGCTGCACGAATGGAGGAGTGGAAAAAGCACAGGCTTGGAGACAGAGTTTAGACTGAAACCTTTGCTTGTCCACTCAATAGCTCTCTGCCCTTAAGTAAATCAGTTACCTTCTCTCAGCCTCATTTCTCCCAAATGTAAGGAAATTACATTTCTCACTTTCCTCAAATGTAAGGGATTATAATAAATGCTTCAAAGAACTCTATTAGGATCAGACAGAAAGTAGTGTTCACACAGCTAGCAAAACATCTGAGTCCCTTTGCACCTCCTCTTTCTGAGATGCCTACAGAGAAAGCCCATATAGAATGGCAAAGAATGCAGTTGTCCCAAGGCATCTTCTGTGGGGGATTGGTTCCAAAACTCAAAACTCTCTAGATACTGATCCACAAATGCTCAAGTCCCTGATATAAAATGGCACAGTATTTGCATACAATCTAAACACATCCTCCCCTACATTTTAAATCATCTCTAGGTTATAATACCTAATACAATGTAAATGCTACATAAATAGTTGTTATACTGTATTTTTACATGTGTATTAATTTTTTTTCCAGCTTGTTAAATTTGTATTACTTTTTATTATTGTATTGTTATTTTTATTGTGTTTCTCCCCATCCCCATTTTTTTTTTGTTTGTTTGTTTTTGAGACGGAGTTTTGCTTGATACCCAGGCTGGAGTGCAATGCCATGATCTCGGCTCACTGCAACCTCCGCCTCCTGGGTTCAGGCAATTCTCCTGCCTCAGCCTCCTGAGTAGCTGGGATTACAGGCACGTGCCACCATGCTCAGCTAATTTTTTGTATTTTTAGTAGAGACGGGGTTTCACCAAGTTGACTAGGATGGTCTCAAGCTCTTGACCTCGTGATCCACCCACCTCGGCCTCCCAAAGTGCTGGGATTACAGGCGTGAGCCACCGCGCCCGGCTCCCCCAAACATTTTTGATGCTTGGTTCATTGAATTTATGGATGTGGAACCACGAATATGAAGGGCCAACTGTTTGGGAGCTGTACAGCATAAGCTACTTAGGGGTTTGGGAAACAGCTGGAGGCAGAGAAAAGTCTCCCCTTTAGGCATTTAGCCATACAGACTAAATATCTATACATTGTAAGACATTCTGGTAGATACTGGAAACAAAACAAGCAAGACACCTATGCAGCCTTACTCTCATGCAGCTTTCAGTCTAATGAGAGAAGCCGTAAATAATCACACACATGGATATACATGATTACAAACTGCAGTAAGGCAGCAGATTCTGGTGAAGGAAGGGAATGTGGCCATAGGAGTGCATACCATAAAGGAACATGCTGTGGATTAGGGGATGAGGGAAAGCTTTCTCGAAGAGGTTTGGTGGAACTGAGATCTGAAGGGTTGAATTAAGCCATATGAATTAAACAGGTAAGGACAGAATGGAAGAGCATTCCAGGAACCAACAAGGCAAAAGCACCGTGACAGGTGGAAGCATAATAAACCTAGGGAAATCTGAATGAACGTCAGAGGGGGCTAGAACAAAGAGAACAAAGAAAAGCAAGGAATGAAATCAAGCTGGATAGGTCAAAAGGGAACAGAGCATACCAGGCTGCAGAGTTCTGTCTTTACCAAAAGGGCAGGAAACTAGGGTATATGCAATATACCCTAGCAATCTTCTGAAGATGACCACAAGGAACACTACTATGTTCTGCTGTACCAAGTCTATACCACACCCATTAAATTCAGGATCCAGGACAGATGGACCTGGACAAGCCAGGTCCATTATAGGAATTCTGATGTTTCAGAAGAAAAGAAACCATACAGAAGCTCTCACCTGAACAACAGGAAATATGTGAATAAAATCCATCCCTTGAATCTGGTGGGGCTCCAACTGGTGTGGGCATTTCATCCTTGGCAGGACCGAGACAATTTTTTCTGATAGAGCTCTGTTCAGAAAAAGCAACAAGCAAAGAGTGAGACACACAAAGTAGCCATTATGGCAACTCTAAAGTCTGGGCAGCATCACAGAAGGATCTGGGGCTTCTCCATGCCAGGCTAATCCAGACCATGACAAGCTTCTCCTAGATGACTGCAAAATGAGAAAAACAAGCACAATTTAGTGGGGTGTGTATGTCCACAAAACTGCCTTCATCCTTTATTCTATGATGTTTTTCTTCCTTTTTAGATGTGAAATATTTTTTCTTTATGAAATGGTGATGTTAGAAGTAGTAACTATCTTCTAACGGGGTTTCACCTCATTGACCAGGATGGTCTCGATCTGTTGACCTCGTGATCCACCCGCCTCGGCCTCCCAAAGTGCTGGGATTATAGGCATGAGCCACCGCGCCCGGAGTTAACTATCTTTTTAACATCCTTATGTAGTAAGATAAAAAGTTATTAGGGCCCTGTATTCTTTTTACATTTCATTTTACTGAGCTACTCTTTCTAAAAGTTTAAAAAAATATTCTAAATATCATTTAGGCAACAAATAATTACCAGACCTTACACCGGGTACCCAGAATACTAAGACGAATCATGGAGCCCCAAAAGATATTTGGAGTTCTCTACTGTGGTACAAAAATATTTTTAAAATATATAGAAATCTTTACTTTTTTGATACTCTAAAATAAATCCTGGAGTTGAAGAAATTGTATATCCTCACGCTTATTTCCACACAGAAGAGAGATTTTCTGCTTCTCATGAGGGACACTGACCTTTCTCTAACACCTCGCCTCAGTCTTCCTCCTATAGAAGACCACAAGGCAGGACTGGAAAGGGAGGAACCAGCTTCCCTGAGGTCCCACAGTGTTATTCTCTGTAGAGCAGGTGGTAAGCATTCTCTCCTGCTAGGGAGGTTTCTCAGCTCAGCCTGAGCTGGGGCAGGACAGTTTATGGCATCAGTGGCAATTCTGTTTTATTGCAGCTTGAAGCCTCCTTCCTGAATCAGTTAGCATTTGATCTCTAGCTATGTGATTCCTGTTTCTTACACTATCTTAATTGGATAGTATAAGACTTGAGGGGAGAAAAATACATTATCCTGTTTCTTATACTATCTTAATTGGATAGTATAAGACTTGAGGGGAGAAAAATACATTATTCAGTAGTGTGCCTAACCCCAAAGTCATGGTATACAGCCTGGAAACGCTGAGAAGCAGTCACCAGGCATGGCCTTGTGGATATGTGGAGAAACAGGAGCTCCTGGCTCAGCCTACATGATAGGTTATATTGCCACACAAGAGCCTTTAAAAAAATCTTAGCCAGTCGCAGGAGGTACTGTGGCCGTATAACCAAGTATAGTACTATGTTCTAATAGACGAAGGTCCAGGTAAACAAGGGTCACTTAGAACTTACTAGGTGCTTCAAATACAACAAGTTTTGGGTCTACCAAACGTGTTTCTTGTTCAAAGAAGTCTTGCCCACCTTTATCTTTCTGCATTTCAATAATCCTTCCCAGGAGACAGACACCCTCAAGATGAACATCTGATTCAGGGCTGGGTGAGAGTTATTATTGTCTTATCTTTGTTTCCCTTAGTAGGTTTCACCCTCAGTCTTAGTATTAATAGTAACTAGGTGACCTAGTTATGACCTAGGGAATGGTCATTAGAGAACACATTCAGAAAGAGTGTCTGCTATCTGGAAAATAGCTTTCCAAGTTGGGACCAAGGTTAAAAGTGCTGAGAACAAGAGTAACACCCCACTGATCATAAGATCAAATGTTAGGTCCAATGTGTTAATAGGAAAAAAAAAATGGAAGGGGGAAGATTAATACCTTAGTACACACATTCATAGAAGAGAGGGAATATCTATATCCTAGGAGGGAAGCATATAGAATTATTTGCTGCCTCTTCCCCCTCCAACAGAAGCAGGGGTGAGGAGTGATTTATCCAAAAGTCCTAAGGGGGGCCAGGCCTGGTACCTCATGTATGTAATCCTAGTGCTTTGGAAGGCCAGGGCGGGAGGTCACTTGAGGCCAGGTGTTTTGAGACCAGCCTGGGCTACACAGTGAGATCCTGCTGTATAAAAAATTTAAAAACTAGTCAGGCATGGTGGTACATTCCTACAGTCCAAGCTATTCAAAAGGGTGAGGTGGGAAGATCACTTGAGCCTAAGAGTTTGAGGCTGCAGAGAGCTATGATCATGCCACTGCACTCTAGCCTGGGCAACAAAGTAAAACTGTCTCTTAAAACAAAACCAAAAGTTCTGAGAAGAGGAAACTGTTATGCACCTCCCAGTCATTCCTGGTGCCCCTCCTTTCAGGGCAGCCTGTCCTTGGGACACACGCCTCTTTTCTGCCATAAGATGTACTGCCTGCCCTACAGAAGCCTGTGGTTGTCCAGGTCTGCTTGGGACTCACATGGGATAGCTTTGTAGTGAAGTACTAACAAACCCATCTGGCAACATATCTAAGGCGCTCTCTCTGATAAGCTTTATTTTTTTAATTTTGAGACCATCAGACTCTCATGGCTTATTTCTTAATTTCCTTGAAACTTGTAAAAAGAAGAGATGAGTGTTCAACTGGAACTGCTGCTTAAACTCCAAGCTTAGCAAATAAAAACGACTATCAGTCCTGGTTTTGCTCAGTGCAAGTCTTAACTATACAGGGGCACATAATCAATACAGCTTTTGCTTAGTTACATTTTGGTTCAGCAGGATGAGTGCTCCCTCTTGTGGTTACAGATATTTTGGTTTGCGTAGAGTTATCAATTGCCTAGAACGGTAGTAGCTTAAAAACAAGAGGCTGGGATCCACAACACCATCTAGCCTAACCCCCTGCCTCCAGACATGGCTCTCCCTGGCCACTCTATGGAGCCAGCCTATTCACCCAGTTCATAAAGGCCCAGAGAGAAGGCTATCACGGGTCATCCTAGGATTTACAACCTTCTTAAACCTGCCTCCAAGAAGGTTTAAGATAAGGACATGGAGGAAAATGCAGGCAAGCTGGGGGCAGGAAAAGAAAGTGAGAAATACTTCCAGAAATCTAACAACCCCCATCAAGCTTCTCTCTGCAGCTCAAGGTGGATCCTTCAGATTTCCTAAAAAATCACAGGAAGTGATAATTGCAGAGTCAGGTTTCCTAGACTAAGATTTTTAACATGCCCAGCTGTGATTAGTTTGACTCCTTTCATTTGTGAGAGTGTTCGGTAGACTGTTTTCTTCTCCACTGCAAACAGTTTGAAAGAGAGTGAATTAAACCTGGGTCTAAATTCAAGTTCCACCACCAACTCTGAAACTTTGGCAAGTAACTCCGTCCAGGTCCAATACTCTGATTATAAAACTAGGTTTAATCCTGCTGTAGTGAAGGTAAAATAATAAAATACACATACAAGTGCTTGTAACACAGATGTCCAATAAATGTTTGTTGTTGAAATAAACTCAGTTATAAATGTAAGATCTCATTATGGGCCTCCAGCCATAGGACCCTCTGTTAATGGGGCTTCAGAAGAGGATAGAAATGGAGGATAGAAACTTATGCAACACTCAGCAACGAAGGATGCCAGGGAACAGGGCCTCAATTGGGTACATAAAGAAGACAGCTTGAGAGATAACCGTGCCCTCAATAGGCAAGTGCACTCCTTGGATGTATGTCCAGCCCACCTATTTAAATTGACTAGATAGGAGAAATTGCAAACGTAGGGCCATTTTAGTCTAAACTGCACCTAACCAGAAACTCTACGGGAGTGGGGAACTCCAAACAAAACACATTCCAAAACCAAACAGAAAAGACTTTTTGGTGACTCAGTACCCTATGGCCATAACATGTCTTCTACAGATAATGAAGAATGAGCTCCCTGATACACTGCTGAGTCTGGTGGGTCCTAAGCCACATAAACCCATCTCCAGCTTTGTGCACAGTTACAGTTCATGGGCCTGCACTTAAGAGACACACATCAAGCACTTACCAGAGAATGTAACACATCCTCAATCCCTCATCCAAACCCGTTGGGTTAGATGTGTTTCAGAATTCTTTACATTTAGTTCTTTAGAATACCTAAAGGAGGCCGGGTGCGGTGGCTCACACCTGTAATCCCAGCACTTTGGGAGGCCGAGGTGGGCAGATCACAAGGTCAAGAGATTGAGACCATCCTGGCCAACACGGTGAAACTCCGTCTCTACTAAAAGCACAAAAAATTAGCCGGGGGTGGTAGTGCATGCCTGTTGTCCCAGCTCCTCGGGAGGCTCAGGCAGAAGAATTGCCTGAAACTGGAAAACGGAAGTTGCAGTGAGCTGAGATGGTGCCACTGCACTCCAGCCTGGTGATAGAGCGAGACTCTGTCTCAAAAAAAAAAAAAAAAAAAAAAAAAAAAAAAAACCTAAAGGATACATACTATATATTATGTAAGAACCCAGGAAAATCCAGAGCCACACTCCATAATAAAAAAAAAATTTACTCAGCAAAACTTACAAATATTCACATAAGTGGGATCAATAAAGCTGTAAATTTATTCAATTTGGGTCATGTTTTGCTCCCAAATAAACTTTGTATCTAAACTTTAAAAGAAGAAAAAACAATGTTCAGCATCTTTTAAATTTCAGAAATACATATGAAGAATTGAGAATACATATAAAAAATACTGTGTTCCCATATCTATTAGAAGTATAATGGAATGTTGCCACTGATGGAAGCCTATCATATCCCATAAGGATATCGAAATGAAAATGCGGCCTAACAACCACTGTAAAACTCAAGGGGGAATTTAGAAAGAAAGCACATGTGGAATCCAAGAAATGGTAAAACCAGCACAGGAAACTTAGTTCCCTTCTCTCCACCTTTAGGTTTTCCGTAGAAAAACTTACATTTTTTGACCTATTGTAGAGTTTTCTTGAAAGAGCAAATCAACATCTACATCAAAGTTGCAAGTGGTGATACACCAAGTCATTCCTCCAACTACCTGCAAGATACAAATAAAATACTTGTTTTCTCTTTTTAGTTTGGGGAGAATAGAAGAAGTAGAAGGTAGGTAAACTATAAAAAGCTCGGACAGACTCAGTACACACACAAAATTATATATCCTGAGAGAGAGAGAATGTGTCCTCCTTACCCGATCAACTACAATTAATCTAAAATGGCATTGTTGCAGAAAACTTTCTGCAGTGACAGAAATATTCTGTTATCTGCATGGACCAGTACAGTAGCTACTAGCTACATGCGGCTGCTGAGCAGCTGAAATGTGGCTGGCATGACTAAGGAGCTGACATTTATTATTAAATGAATATAATGTACATAGATCCTCTTCAAAGTCAAAAGGACAGACATTAATTCTGTGTTTTATAGACCAGATACACGGGTAGCAAGGCTGACATTTTGTTTCCATACATCTTATTTTTCTTATCTACCTGAGATGAAAACTCCTCGCTTTACTTTTCCCTCAGGAATTCTCTGAGATGCAAATGAGAGTAAGACTAAAAACCCATTTTAAAACAAAATTCTTTTCAGACACAGCTTGATGTTAGAAAAAAACAACACTGAATCTTATCCCTGGCTGTTTTAGACTCTTATGAGTTGTTGGATAAAAATGTAGATTCCAGGGCCTGAGCCCAGACCTAGCCAAACAGAATTTCAATGAATGAGTCCTGGGTTCTGTGTTATAAAATAACCCAGAGTGATCCTGTTATGCACAGATGGGACTGTGACGCCCCTGGAGCACTCAGCACTGTCTTCCACAGCCTGCCCTATCTGATTTGGATGTGTCCAGTCTGCTGTGGCACTTTCTGCAACATGCCATTTATTTTGTGGATGTTGATTTACTTGTCTCTCATCCCTCTTCTACAGAAATTGGGCTCTTTGAGAACTGTGCCTTTGTTTTGTCTGTGTCCTATTACTATGATTTATGCATCATAATTCAAGGTTCTGCTGAATTAAAAGATTTCATTGTACAGTGATCTCTCTTGTCCTAAATCAGAGTATTTACCATCCGCAAAATATCTGGCAACTGTCTGTGAGCATGCTGACTTGGGATAGCTCATTATTAACTCTGATTATTTTATTTTCTATAAATTTTATAATCCCCACCCAAACTGTAAATTCCTTGAGAAGGAACTATTTATTTTGCTTCTTTGCATTTCCTAAAGCTTTGTGCATATAAAAAGAACTGACAGCATATTCACTGATATATCATTTCTCTCTTTGAAAACAAATTTGAACACTTCCATAATGAATGTGAATTAGGAAGAAATGGCAACACAGACATGAAGGAAGTTAAAACACCATTTCTTCCTCCTTTCTTTGCCATGATTAACCATCTCATTCTGACAAAAACAGTCTAATGGTTAGAAAGATTTCCCCTTACCTTGTCAAAGGGTGACAAGCCTTTAATTCTTGCCCTGAAATACCCAGCTGCAACCAAGAGCTCCAGAATTTCAGTCAGCTTGACATTTTGTTCTTCATCTTCTCTTGTTTCCACCTAAAACAAAAGGTAAAAGTTTGACTGGTAAAACCTATCTGAATAAAGGAATACCAGGTATATCCCCTGATGCCCCAATCTCTCTGCCAAGGAGCAGATAACATGGGCTACATCACTGCACTAGATTCTCTGAAAATTCAGCAAGCTTCACACAGAAGCATGTGGACAGTGTTGCCAGAGTCACAAATGGGTCCCCAATCCTCAATGGGCTGTTAATCTTCACAGCTGAGGGAGACATATGCCCAGGCAGAATACACTACTCATCACATGCTAAAGGAATCCAAAAGAAGAAAGATTAGAGTAAAATACTTCCTTTTTCTCTAACCCATGGTTGACTTTGACAGCCTTCTCAAATAAATTGTAACTCCTTAACAGACAGGAACAAAGTTTCATGGTGTTTTCTTAAAAAAAAAACTACACGTAGGGCCAGCGTGGTGGCTGACACCTGTAATCCCAGCATTTTGGGAGGCTGAGGTGGGTGGATTATTTGAGGTCAGGAATTTGAGACCAGCCTGGTCAACATAGTGAAACCCCATCTCTACTAAGAGTAAAAAACTTAGCCAGGTGTGGTGGCACATGCCTGCAGTCCCAGCTACTTAGGAGGCTGAGGCATAAGAATTGCTTGAACCCAGGAGGCAGAGGTTGCAATGAGCTGAGATTGTGCCGCTGCGCTCTAGCCTGGGTGACACAGCAAGACCTTCTACCAAAAAACTATACTTCGCTGGGTGCAGTGGCTCATGCCTGTAATCCCACCACTTTAGGAGGCCAAGCGGGGGCTGATCACTTGAAGTCAGGAGTTTGAAACCAGCCTGGCCAATATGGCAAAACCCCATCTCTACTAAAAATAAAAAAAATTAGCAGAATGTGGTGGTGCACACCTGTAACCCCAGCTATTCGGGAGGCTTAAGCACGAGAATCACTTGAACCCAGGAGACAGAGGCTACAGTGAGGCAAGACGGTGCCTTGCACTCCAGCCTGGGCAACAGGGCAAGATTCTGTCTCCAAAAAACAAACAAACAAAAAACTTTATACTCATCCAGGTCCCAGAAGTTACTGACAAGAGGTATGGAAATGAAGAAGGCAATTCAAATATGTATCCCTCTCTGCACTTTCCTTTTTGATCTCGAAAAATATAAGAAAGGCTGCCTGCCAACCCAGATATATTAAACCATGATTACTGCCACATAATACAATTGCCTTAAAAAGAATAAATTATTCTAATATATTTTGTTTTGATTTAAAATTTTTAATTTATATCCTCCTTTTATCCCACATCTTTATCTAATACTTAAATCCATCTAAATAATCTAATACTCCTTCGTCTATTTACTATCATGAACTACCTTGCCTCTCTTCCATTGCTGCAGAAAATAAAAAACCATCCCTATATAAAACACCAACAAGATAGCCTGGTTCACATTCTCATACTCCTGACTACTCCCTTACCCAACAATGCCTGTTAAGTCTTTCTTTACTATGCATCTCACATTTATCCTCCCTTCCCTTGTATTCATACTTCATTCCAGGGCTCCTGCAAATGCTTTATCTTTCTTCCCTATTAATTTGTTTTGCTTACCCCTTCCTAAATCACAGCTTTCATGTGATCCCTCTTTAGCTCACCCTCCCAGCCCTTATCAACAATGCTTCACACACACTGCCTCTAAGATAAACTCCAGATGTCCTGGTTTCACATTCAGATCTTTGGCCACCAAACTATCTTTTCAGCTTCATCCTTTAACTCCCCCCCAAACAACCAAGACACGGTCATGGCTATGATATTCTCTAACTATTGAGAAATCACTCTCATATTCCAGCTCCCATTCAATGCCATCCCTCACAAATCTATCCTGAAATGGTCACTCCTCTGCATTTCTATTTTATTTGAAGTCTATGCTGTATATATAATTAAATATCAACCTCTTCTAAGTGAGATATCTAGTGTTATGTACCTGCTTCTCTTTCCAGCTGGACTATTGGTTGGTTAAGGAGGGGACTATATATTATAATGTGGGTTTACTCCTCTGTATCAAAACAGCATTAACTTCAAAGGACACACTTATTAAATGAAGAATGATGTATTAATGCTTACAAAAAGTAAATGAACTTAAACCAGTCACGTATTAAAATGTTTTGGTAGTCATATCCCTGACAATGGAAAGTTTATTTTGATGTATAAACTGCCAGGAAAAGAAGAATACATATTAAAATATAGTTAATACAGAATTATTAAAGTGACTGATAATGCCCTGCAATAGAGTAGGAGTGCTGTGGGGGAGGTGATGGTACTGAGCTACATCCTTCTCTGAAATGACCCTGGTCCAGTCCTTTAAGGATCTTGAAGATGAGCATTCACCAGTTCCTAGTGGACATAAACATTTTCTTTTTTTTTTTTTTTTTTTTTTTTTGGGGGGGGAGGAAGGCAGGAAGGAAGGGAAGAAGGACGGTAGGGAGGAAGGAAGGGATGAAGGAAGGAAGGAAGGAAGGGAGGAAGCGGGGAGGGAGGGAGGGAGGGAGGGAAGGGAAGAAAGGAAATCAAGCAATGAAAGAGACATTGCCGACCTGGATCTAGAGGTTTACAAGTTGATTTCTTTTTTTTTGAGAGAAGGAAAGAAAAAAAAAAAAAAATAAGTAAAGGAGAGGAAGAAAGAGGAAGAGAAAGAGGGAGAGTAAATGGAAATATTGCTTTATTTTGAAAAAAATTGGGTATTAATAATGGCCAATCAATGTTTCATTTAAACTAATGGGTAGGTGTGATGTGGTATTGACAAGAATGTATATTTTGTGTATTTGAAGTGGAGAGCTCTATAAATATTTATTAAGTTTACTTGTTCTGGATCTGAGTTCGAGTCCTTGATACCCTTATTAATTTTCTGTCTCATTGAGTCTAAGTCTCCTATCTGGATGTTAGGATCGTTAGCTCTTGTTGTTGCATTGATCCTTTTACCACTGTATCTTTGTTGCTTTAAAATCTATTTTATCCGATACAAGAATTGCAACTCCTGCTTTTTATTTATTTATTATTTATTTTTGCTCTCCATTTGGTTGGTAAATCTTTCTCCATCCCTTTGTTTTGAGTCTTTGTGTATCCTTGCATGTGAAACAGGTCTGGATGTAACATGCCGTTAGGTTTTGGCTGTGTCTTTTGATTGGGAATTTAGTCAATTTAAATTTAGGGTTACTGCCATTTGATGTTGACTGGCTGTTTTATCCATGTGTTGGTGTAAATTCTTCTTTATGTTGGTGCTCTTTACTTTTTGGTGTATTTTTAGAAAGGCTAATACTGGTTGTTTCTTTCTGTGTGTAATGCTTCTTTCAGAAGCTCTTGTAAAGCAGGCCTGGTGGTAATAAAATCTCTGAGTTCTTGCTTGTTCATAAAAGATTTTATTTTTCCTTCAGTTGTGAAGCTTAGTTTGGCTGGATATGAAATTCTGGGCTGAAGGTTCTGTTCTTTAAGGATGTTGAATATTGGCCCCCACTCTCTTCTGGCCTGTAGAGTTTCTGCCGAGAGATCTGCTATAAGTCTGATAGGCTTGCCTTTGTGGGTTATCCGACCTTTCTCTCTGGCTGCCCTTAGTATCCTCTCCTTCGTTTCAACCCTGGTGAATCTAACGATTATGTGCCTTGGGGTTGCTCTTCTTGAGGAATATCTTTGTGGTGTTCTCTGTATTACCTGGGGTTGAATGTTGACCTGCTTTGCTAGTTTAGGAAAATTTTCCTGAATAATATCCTGAAGGGTATTTTCCAACTTGGATTCATTCTCTCCGTTGCTTTCAGGTACACCTATCAAACGTAAATTTGGTCTTTTCACATAGTCCCACATTTCTTGGAGACTTTGCTCATTCCTTTTTATCCTTTTTTCTCTAATCTTTTCTTCACGTTTTATTTCATTAAGTTGGACTTTGACCTCTGATATCCCTTCTTCTGCTTGAACAATTCGAGTGTTTAAACCTGTGCATACTTCTCGGAGTTCCTGTATTGTATTCTTCAGTTCCATTAATTCACTCATACTCCTCTCTAAGTTGTCTATTCTCAATAGGATTTCATCAAGCCTTTTGTCAAAGTTCCTAGTTTCTTTACGTTGGGCTACAACATGGTCTTTTAACTCACCGAAGTTTGTTATTATCCATTCCTTGAAGAGTGATTCTGTCATCAGGAGGCGCTCGTTCTCCATCAAGCCTTGTTCCATTGTTGATGTGGAACTGTGATCATCTTTAGAGGGAGAGGCGTTCTGACTTTGAGTATTCTCAGCTTTTTTACGCTGGTTTCTTCCCGTCATTGTAAATTTATCCTCCTCTCGTCTTTGAAGTTACCAACTTTCAGATTAGGTCTCTTGAGTGGACGTCCAGGTTGTTAGTTCCCAGGGCCAGAGCAGCGGCGTTAAAACTGATGGTGCTTTTCCGCCCAGGATTCTCCTGTCGGGCTTCCTTCTTGTGTCCGTAGTAGGTGACTCTGCCTTCCCAGTGCTCCCAACCTCGGTCAGAAGGGAAACCGGTCCCGTTTACTCTGCTCCGAGAGCTGAGGTGCCGGCGGAACCGCTGCGCCGACCACGAGAGTCGCCCTGGTGACCCCTGTGTTTCCACCACTGGGGGATCTTCTGCTCCGTGAGCGACCAGACTTTGTCTGAAAGTGTGGCGTCCTCTAGTTCTCCGCGCCTTCCCTGAGAGCTGCAATCCCGGGATGTTAGCGATCGGCCATCTTGGATCGTTCCCTCAACATTTTCTTAAGTAATATAAATTATTCACACCTTCTCTCCCTTCTGCAAAAAATCTGGGATAGTTGAGAAACATCTACAAGTGAAGACTCTAAGAAAAGAGAAGCTAAAGAGTAGCTGTAGTTCAAAACGTTAAAGCAGAAAAAGAAAATGACATAAGTACTTTCCTAAAACTTCTGGGGTGTGAAACAGGAACACTTCATTTGTTCAGTCATTTACCATGAAAACATCACTTACTGTATAAACACTTCCAAGAAGAGGACAAAAAACAAACAAAAATAGGAGGATCATCACTGCCTCAACACCTAGCTAATGGGCACCCACTGGCTACCCCAGTACAGATACATGGCCCATGCTTCCATCCACTCACCCCTAAAATGGAGAAGTATACTTTTGCAATATAATTTGCGAAGTAACTTTTTGGCACAAGACAACAAATGGGTATGTTTAACTCCAAATTCACTTAGTAGATCAACGCTGAAACAAAGTGGAAAAGGGCCACTGCCTGGCATGCAGGGAATGAAAGAAGACCCTCTCTTGAAGACATAAAAAGCCACCAGCCTGGTTAATTACATCCAGATGTTAAAACTAAATTTCTGACAAAGATGAACAATTGGCTCTTAAACCAAGTCCAATAAATTTTCAATTTCCATGCACTATAGTTCTTGTAAGCTGGAAGGCAGGGCCAAGTCTAGTTATCTTTGTAAAGGGTTAAAAAGAATGAATTTGGGCCGGGCAGTGGTTCATGTCTGTAATTGCAGCTACCGGGGAAGGCTGAGGAAGGAGAATTGCTTGAACCTGAGAGGCAAAGGTTGCAGTGAACTGAGATCACACCACTGCACTCCAGCCTGGGTGACAGAATGAGACTGTCTCAAAAAAGGAAAAGAATGAATTTAATGAATTAACTAGTCTAGTGACAGCCTGATAACACACTCTCCATATTTATATTTACAAGCTTCTGAACTAAAGGATAACAATTTGATTATATTCACCCTGACTTCATAATTGCCAGGAACTGTCTCAGGTTCTTCCCAAACAATTACCAATTAGACCTGGCCTCTTAGCAGTCAGTCAAACAAATGACACACAGCAGCAGTTTGCCTTTTTTTCTTCTCCAGAAGGACTTCCACTGATAGTACTGTAGGATATTGGGTTGGAGGGATTTAAAGCAGAACCTGGGAGACCAGAAAGGAGTCTACAGCAAAAGGCCAGGCAAAAACTTAATGAGAGCCTAGAATAAAGAAGCGGCAAAAAAGAAAACTTCCAATGTCACAGTGCAGATGCTATTGTTCAGTATCCTGAGTCACATCAAAGCAACTGCATGTAAGGTTTTACCTAATACAGGGATTCTGACAACATTACGCTTGTTAGGCTTTCTTAAGACAAACAAATGGACTTGTATTCTGGGAGAACACACTGACAGACAAATCTGTCCTTTCACCACTATATTCCCAGCTTCTGGACACAGAACACAGTGATCCCTCAATTAGTGGACACTTGTAACATGAAAGAACTGAGGATTTGAGAGGAGTGCAGAGGAGCAAGATGGGTCACAGGCAGTTAAGTGTGAAGGGACCACTCACCACGTCAAGCAAGCAGTCACTCTGCCCAATGCTTGCTCCAGAACCTTAGGAAAGGGGCAGAGGTGTGGCGTGGATCCTATTTCTCTCCCGAATCAAGTAAACAGACTGGGCTTTTAGTGAAATCAACTGAAAGGGACGACAGATGCAAACTACCTATGAGATGTTAAGTGACATTTGCAGCCAAAAGAAAATGAATGCACTTTCCCTGTATTCCCGGCAAACATGGAAATCCGGAAACCACTCATGACCCTCTCCCCAGTATTGAGTACTTAATAACAAACACCTCTGGAAAGGAACCCGGCCCTCTTCTGGAGAAGCTGCAACGTTTCCGCCCAGAGCTCGGTCCCCGGCCACACAGCACCCCTGGAGTGCGTCCCACCCTGAACGCCACGGCGCGCTGACCCTACGGGACACCTCCCTGGTGCGCGCAAGTCTCCCAAACTTCCTCCCGCCGCCCCAGCCCGGATCAACGCAAGGAGGGTGGCATTCCCTCCCGACAGCAAGGCAGGTGGGGCTGGCCGCCGGGACCCCGCAGGGTGGCGGTAGGCGTCCCAAGGTCACCGTCCTTCACACCACCCGAGCCCGGACCGCCTCGGAGCGCGGTCTCGTGACTCCTGCGTGTAGCAGCCTCGGCCCTCGGGGCCAGCCCCGCAGCGCTGGGTTGGGGCGCCCGTCCCGGACGTGGGGAGAGGTGGGAGCTCAGGGCCCCGCGGGGCATGGGGCTGCGTCAGGGCAGGTGTCGGGCTAGGAAGGCCACCTCCGCCCCAAGAGACCCCAGAGCGGCTTAAGTTTGTCCCCTCCCGTCCGCTGCCCCCTGCCCACGCAGGGGCACCTGCTCCCAGCCTCCGAGAAGAGGGTCGGCGCTTTCCCAAGGTGGATACACCTGAGGAAGGGGGCGGGGCGCCCCTAACGCACCCGGGGCCCGCTCTGCCCGCCGCCCAGCGGCTCGGCCCTCTCATCAGCAACCCCGACGTGCCAGGGAAGGAGGCGTTCTTACCTCCGGGAGACCCTGGCCCTCCGGCCCCTTGGGTAACCCCATGATCCGACTGGGCTGCCGTACGGCGACAGCGAACCCCGCCAAGCGTCCGGAGGAAGCTGTCCCTGCCGCGGAGCTGCTACCGGGGTGGAGTGCAAAGCGGAAACTTCCTCCGCCGCCGCCACCGCCGCTGCCGGCCTGGAGCCCAGCGGCCGAGCGGAGCATGCGCGCTGGGACCGGAGCGCGGAGCCACTGCGCCTGCGCCGCAGGAGCCCTGGGAGAGGTGGGCTGGGCTGCGGGTCCTAGCGATGCGTTGGATCTTTGGCCGCGTGCTTTAAAGTTTCCTCCGAGGCGCCGCATGAGAGGGGTTCCTCCTGCATCTTGAGAACATTTTACATTTCGGCTCCCTTCCCTTCTCGCTGGCATCGGATGCCCCAGGTGGGTCCCGTCCTCTCCGTGAACCAGACTTCGGACACCCCCTCGCACAGGGTCAGAGTCCAAGCACAGAGATGAGCTTGAGGATTCCGAATCCATGCCCGGCTCTAGCCCTTATAAGCATACGCTTGGACAACCTTCTCCCTATACAGATCAGGAACGGACCCCCTGAGAAGGGGTTCTTCACGCTCGCAGCCCTCCCCAGCGTCTTGGCCAGTGGCATCGCGTTCCCAGGAAACCTCGCTTACTATATTGCCCACCACCCCGCCCCATTCACGGTTTCTGGGTCTTCCTGGAGGAATGACATCTCAGAGAATGCGGACTCCTGTGTTCACGTCATTTTAGCGGCCGCGTCCCCTATTTGGTGAACCCCTTGTCGGTCCCGGAGGGTGGCAGCTAGACAAAAGGTCACAGGACCCCACACCCACTCCATAACGGCTTCCCGGCTTTTTGTGTCTTTTAAGAGATGAGGAAACAGATGACTTCCATGAAAACTTTTGCTGTAGAAGAGATCCTTCCCTCTGTATTTGTGTGTGGGATGGAGAGTGTCAGACACTTAGCTCCTTGAGATCAAAAAGGTTTTGTTTGCTTTTCTCTCTTCTTTGCATCCCTAACATCTTTAAAAGAGTAGGCAGGTGCGGTGGCACATGCCTGTAATCCCAGCATTTTGGGGGCCGAGGCGAGAGGATCACCTGAATCCAGGAGTTGGAGACCAACCTGGGCAACATAATAAGACCTCTATCTCTACAAAATATAAGAAAAGTAACCCAGTGTCAGTGGTCCCAGCTAGCCGGTAGGCTGGGGTGGGAGCATCGCTTGAGCCAGGAAGGTTGAGGTTGCAGCGAGCTATGATGACACCACTGCACTCCAGCCTGGGTGACAGAGCAAGCCTGTCTCAAAAAAAAAAAAGTATGCAGTGATGTTTTCTTTTTGACTTTTTTTTTTTGCACCCTTTATACTTCTGGAGTTTATCCTGACAGACAGAGGTTTGTCTGGAGCCAAAGCTCACAAGTAGTTGGAGGTGCCCTAAGAACACCATTTCATTCTTAAATATAACTAGCAAATACTACTCAAAGCTGTGCATAATCCCCGACCCCTGGTCGCCAATAATTTGAATAATTTAAATATGCAAGTTAAGATATTGAGATGGGAACCTTGTGTGGTACATCTTGCTCTTACCCCTTATGAAGCTAATAAAACTCAATTTCTATTCTCATAACTTCCCAAATGTGTTGTTTTTGTAGCTTTAAAACTGTCCTCTACTGAAATGGTATAGGTTGAGGGGGAATGGAGGGTAATAATCATCTGTGGCCACTATTAAGTAACCAGACAGATACTGATGCCTAGGAATGGGTAGCAAGATCTCACATAACAGGCAAACCTAAACAGCTGTATGTAATAGCAGCCCGGAGACTAGGGCTTGGAGAATAACAGGACTCGGACAGCCCACACCCCAAGTCCCCTGTTATAATGCTTTTGCAATGTTTTAAATAAGCATGTGTAGCTAACTTCCTCAATAAGAGACTGTCCTATGTTACTATAGGTGTAGGGTGACAGTAACAGAGTTGAGGGACATGGGGCATGCTATAAAAAAGAAAAAAAAACACAACTTAGTGAAACAGCCATGATAACAGTCATGAAAGTCTGACTGTTGAGCAGGGCTAGGTAGCACCTGCTTTCAGTCCCAGCAACTCGGGTGGCTGAGGCAGGAAACTCGCTTGAGGCCAGGAGTTCTGGGCTTTAATAAGCCATGCCAATCAGGTATCTGCGCTAAGTTTGGTATCAATAAAGTGACTTCCAGGGAGGAAGCTTGCCTAAGGAGCAGTGAACTGGCCCAGGTCAGAAACAGAGCAGGTCAAAATTCCTGTGCTGATCATTAGTAGGATCACGACCGTGATCCCAGTGCACTTCAGCCTGGGCAATATAGCAAGACACTGTCTCTTAAAAAAAGAAAAAGAAAAAGTAAAAGAAAGTTTGAGCAGCCCATATTTGAGAGTAGAAACCCTTCACAGTCTTGAAGAAGACCTTGAACAGACAATGCAGAAGAGACTTGTGAGGAAACTCTCAGATAAATCCATCTCTCTCCCTTTCCCTTCACTCCAGGTACCCTCATACATTGCATCTCCCTAGTGTGATATCTGAGGACTAGAAATCAGTCACTCTGTCTTTCTTCTGTACACCGAGTACAGAGTTGTGTGATGTTCTTCTATTGCAAGATTTTTGGAGCCTCACAAATACTTTCCAGTTCCTAGGTAAAGGAGTACCATAGAGATATAGTTTGGATATTTGTTTGTCCCACCCAGATTAATCCCCAGTGTTGGAGGTGGGGCCTGGTGGGAGGTGATTGAATCGCTAGGTGGATTTCTCATGAATGGTTTAGCACCATCCCCTTGGTGCTATTTTAGTGATAGTAAGTCATTCATCACGAGATCTGGGTGTTTAAAAGTGTAGCACCTTACCCTCTCTTGCTCTTATTTTCGCCATGTGATGTGTCTGCTCCCCTTTTACCTTCCACCATGATTGTAAGCTTCCTGAAGCCTCCCCAGAAGCCAGGCAGATGCTGGTACCATGCTTTCTGAAAAGCCTGTAGAACTGTAAGTCAATTAAACCTCTTCTTTAAAAATACCCAGTCTCAGGTATTTCTTTGTAGCAATGTGAGAATGGTCTGATTCATGTGTAAAGAGCTTCCTGTTAGGCTTAGCTTTGTTCTGGAGGAAGTCTTCTATAAAGCCTCAATTATTCTGTCTCCAGGCTTCTCTCATTCCTTCTACTCTGGGCTCTTGTTATGACCAAAAGGGGAATGATGAAATCATAAAGCAAGAAGGGAAGTTAAAAAGACATGTAGTGCAACAATGGGTGTTCAGTAAAGCAGAATGACACAGCTTAGGTCACACAGCACATGAGAGGTAGTGCTGGAACCAGAGCCCCACATTTCTCATTCCCCATGTTTTTTTACTCACCCATCCATCCATCCAACCTCCCATCTATCCATCCATCCATCCAACAAATATTGCTGAGTTACTTCTACATTAGTAGCTCTCAAACTTGGCTGCACATTGGAATCACCTGGAGTCTACCTTCAGCAATTCTGATTTAATTGGGCTGGGAGATGCATGAATATTGAATTTTTTACCTCAGAACATATTGTTTTATATATAGCACAGTAGTGAATAGTGACTTCATTATGGGTTGGTTTATTTATAGATCACAGTGGCATACAAAATTCAAAATCCATAAACAAACTAAGAGCTCATAGGTTAAATGAGTTCTCCCTAAGAATTCTTAATGGCATGCTGGTCTATTCTTAAGCAGTACAATTTTATAATGCACCATCCTATATTTAGCATATCACATTTCTACAGTAAAATAATGGAGGCACAAGCAGTGCAAGCAGACCTAAACCCCTTCTACTTCCAAAGGTTTAAAAAAATACCGGGTGTACACATACAGACTTGGATGAGCTCTTTCAATACATTTTTCAAAAAAAAATGATGGTTTTATCAAAGAATTTTAATAACTTCCATAGTTTGTACAATCATACTCTATTAGCTACATTTAGAAGGATTTGTCAAGGACCCAACTACACAGTAGTGAATAAACAAGCTTGAGAATATCTACTACATTCTCCATCTCCAGGAGAAAATGATATTTACATTTTTGGGTAAAGTGATTTAATAATTAAACAATTCTTTTTTTTGGCGGTGGGGTAGGGAATAGGATTTTCAAATCCTCATAGGCTCCCAATGAACAGTCAATTTGAGAAGAGTTTCTCTGTGCCAGAAACTGTTCCTGGTGCTGGAGATACCGCAAACAACACACCAAACAAGATAATTACTCATAGAAATTAAATCTTTAATTAATATCAGGGAGAAATAGGTGCTATTGAGGGAAGGGAAACAGTGTAGTTTGGGTGTGGTAGCTCACACCTGTAATCCCAGAGCTTTGGGAGGCTAAGGCTGGCAGATTGCTTGAGCCCAGGAGTTGGAGACCAGCCTAGCAAACATGGCAAATATCTATCTCTACAATTAAAACACACCACACACACACATACACACACACACAGACACAGACACAGACACACACACACACAGTAATACAATAAAGAATAGCTAGAGTCAAAGTCACTTTTAGATGAAGGGGCCAGGATTAGGCTTTTCACTGTCATTTGAGAGGAGACTTAATTTCCAAAAAGATGCCATAGAAGAACCTCAGGGGAAAGCATTGCTGGCAAAAGGAGCATCCGAGGTGTTCTGCACACTTTCCCATTACCCTTCCAGTCCTGCTCTCAGTCCTCTTCTTGTTTGTTTCAGCACAAGGCTGAGCAGTAAGGGCTTCAGCAGCAGGGCCTGGCGTATGAGGATCTGGGATGTGGGTCTTGGGATGAAGGGATATCTGGGATGTGAGTCCTGGGGTTTGGGGAAACTGAGTTATAGGGTCTAGGGAGTAAGATTTCAATAGTAATTTGGCAAAATATATTAAGAACTTAAAAAATATCCTTTGATATGATGCTTCCACTTTTAGGGCTTATATAAGATCTTCATCGCAATGTTACTGATAAGAAAAAATCTATAAACTATATAAATAGTCCATAATAAGGGACTGGTTAAGTACATTAGTCTGTCCATTTGATGCAACATCATATTGCCAGTGAAAATGTGTGCTTCAGCAGGCCATAAAACAGTGAGAGATGAGGCATAAAATTGACTTTAGGTCACAAAAATTTCTTTGACCAGAGGAATGTGAGCAGATAGGAGATTGTGCCAATCCTGGGTGAGGTGTTAAGAATCATTCTGTGTTCCCTTACTCTCCTCTGCTCATGCCA